CCTGTTGAATTCTGCCTTCCATAAAGCCCTTGCACATAGACACAATTCACGCAAGTTTTTTACTACTTCATAAAAAGATGGCTCCTCCTCCAGTTTCCAATAAGGTATTCCTTATTTCCATCTGAGCTGGAAATTACCCATATTGCCCTTAATGCTCCATTCATGGCAACACAGGGTTTTTCCAGCAGTCACTTCAAAACTCTTCAAAAGCTGCTTCCACATTTTCAGGCATTTGTTATAGCAACACCCGACTCCTTTGCTACCAATTTGTGTTTTAGTCCGTTGTGCTACTATAACAGAATACCTGACACTAGGGAATTCATAAAGAACAGAAATTTATTTCATCACAGTTCTGGAGGCTGGGATGTTCAAAACCAAGGCCCTGGCCTTCTTGCTGAGTCATCGCATGGTAGAAGACAGAAGGGTGAGAGAGAGAGAATGCCCACTTCCAAAAGTCCTTTTTATAATAGTGTAATCCATTTATGAGTGTAGAACACTCATGGTCTAATCACCTAGAACTTATGCTACCATCAAATTGGCAATTAAATTTCACCATGAGTTTTGAAGGGGAAAAGCATTAGTAATACAGCACTTACTTAGTTTCTCCATTATTCTTTTATACATAGTCTTGATTTCATGGTCCATCAAAGAACCCCATTATTTTCTTGTGCACACATCTGTTTGCCCAGAAAATTGGTAATCTTGTGACTCTCAACTCTGGCTGCATTATCAGAGATATCTGGGAACTTAAAAAAAAAAAAAAAAGAAAAAGAAAAAGATACACCATAGTCAGTCTAGACCAAGTAAATCAGATCCTCTGCAAGTAAAATTCATGTACTGATATTCTTTATAAGAGCTCCCCAAATGGTTCTATGAGAATAACTACCCTAATGTACCTATTTTTATTTCAGAAAGGACTAATTATTCAACAACGTTTGTGCCTCCCTTTCAATTATATAAAGTTATCATTGTGAAGCAGCTGCCTAGTTAAGGAGTCATTCCCATCACTCATCCTACCCCCACCCCACATCAAGGTAGGGCCAGGTGACTAGTTTTCACCAATAGAAAGTGAACTGAGGTTGGGGGTGGGTGGAGTAAAAAAAAAAAAAGACAAAAAGAAAGTGAACTGAAAGAATGTATATGACTTCTGAGAAAAGGGCATTAAGAAACAGTGTGTGTTCTATAATATCTCTTTTCCCACTGCCAGCTATATGCAGAGGATTCTAAGGGTTTAGCAGATGCAAAATCACAAGATGGAAAGAGCTTGGGTCCGAGAATCACTTGAAAAAAGTCATGCTTTGACAAAGCTTTGTATCATAAGACTGCTAAGAGAAAAAGATAACAAAATTTGAAAGTTTCATCAGCTACAGTTACCCAAATCAACAGAGAAATATGTATCTTGAAGTGGGGTCCCGTTGTGCTAATCAAATATGTGGCCTTATATTAGTGAGTAGAAAATATGCATCAAGGAAATAATTAGCAGGCACTGGAAAGATGGAACAGTGGTAAGAAACATTTTATGAATATTACTTTCAATAACTTGGAAAGCAGATTAAATAATTCTGAGCTTTGACACTAGAGCAGTTCTTCTCATACAGACACAATTTTGCCCCCTGGAAGACATTGGACAATGTGTGGAGACATTTCTGGTTGTCATACTGGAGCAGGGAGGAAGTGGTAGGTAGAGACAAGAGATGTTCCTAAAACTCCTATAATATCTAATATAGTTCTCCACAACAGAGAGTTTTCTGATAATGCTGAAGTTTTAAGAAGCCCTTCTCTAAAGGAAGTGGCTGGAAAGAGCCAGAAAATTAATGTTACTTGCTCCTTGCTGTTTATTAAATAATACAAGAAAGAAATAAGCTCAGAAAATAATTAGTTTTAAGGAAAACAAAGTATATCTTTATTCTGACATTCAGTTAAATATCTTGGCTTAGAGAAAGCCCAGAAATTTGGGGCTTTTGTAGGTTTCAAAAACAATTTCTCCAGACTACAAACAGTAGGGGGGAAATAAGACTGAAAAAGCAAAGCCTCAATAAGACTTCACAGTTAAACAAATGGATTCATCCCTGCAGCTAAGATTAAATTAAGGTTTTATGGCTGGGTGTGGTGGCTCACATCTGTATTCCCAGCACTTTGGGAGGCTGAGGCGAGCAGATCACAAGGTCAGGAGTTCGAGACCAGCCTGGCCAATATGGTGAAATCTCGTCTCTACTAAAAATACAAAAACAGTAGCTAAGCTTGATGGTGGATACCTGTAATTCCAGCTACTTGGGAAGCTGAAGCAGGAGAATCGCCTGAACCTGGGAGGCAGAGGTTGCAGTGAACCAAGATCGTACCACTGCACTCCAGCCAGGGCAACAGGGCAAGACTCTGTCTCAAAAAAAAAAAAAATAAAATAAAATGTTTACTTTCCCAACCAAATGTATCCTTTAGATCAGGTGTCCCCAAATTTTTACACAGGGAGCCAGTTCACTGTCCCTCAGACCGTTGGAGGGCCGCCGCATACTGTGCTCCTCTCACTGACCACCAATGAAAGAGATGCCCCTTCCTGAAGTGTGGCGGGGGGCCGGATAAACGGCCTCAGGGGGCTGCATGTGGCCTGCGGGCCGTAGTTTGGGGACGCCTGCTTTAGATAATCTCTTGGACATGGGGCTGGTACCTACAGAAATCTCTTAAGAATTACAAAAATCATGAAAATATTTTTCAAGGCCAACTTAATTGTTACCATCTCTACTTCTCATATCAGAATTACTTTACCTCCTTATGCCACTCATCAGAATTAGTCTTGCATTTGCACTCTTTCAGTAACACTTAACTCATCCTCCCTTTTTTACATGTTTTCTCCTTTCCATTGTAAATCTCTTGAATGCATATAGTCTTAGCCATGTAGCCCATTCATGGCCTAGAACATGTCTTACCTATGATATACAATTAGTGTTTGTTAAGTCATATGTCCACTGAATATAAACTACTCTGCAAAGCATTGATCCCATGGTCTTTGATCTGTAGATGCTCATACTCCAGTATTAAGAGACACAATCACAAGAATCACTTTTCAATATAATTCTTACAGAATCTGAGGCACTACAGACACTCATTTTCACATTAGGTATCACTGAGGAAGCAATTGCCATCTATTGGTCATTCTTCTATGCCAACTTCTAATTGCACAAGACTGCCTGAGACTAGTTACTAAGGAAAGCTGTCACTGACTTAAATAGGAAAAACAGGTAAGAGTACATATCTAAGAAGAGTAGTTACTCTTAAAGAATTTGAGTGATGATCTTGTAAGGTTAGGGGTTAAATTATAACAAAGTAAATTTTAGTAGCAAAAAGGATTAAAAAAAACAACAACAACAGCAACCACTACAACTGCCCATTGGAGGAAATGGAGAGTAGAAATGGCATGTGTATACATCAGGAAAGGCTAAGAAGTGATACAGACAATAATGATCTATTTTGCTACTTCAGACCAAGGTATCTGAGCTATATTTTTACACTAAGTTAAATAATTATTTGAACTTCTTGACCTGTCTAGGTGGCTCTGACATTAGGATGCTAACAGAGAGTTCACTAAAGATGGGAGGCAAAGCAACAATTATAATTTCTTTTCTAGACCAAGCCCTGCTTCTTAAATGAATATACAAATCACAGAGCCAGACAGGGTGACTGAATCACATGCAGGTAAGGGGAATGGACGAAGTCACTCAAGAGCAGCAAAAATCAAGACCAATGCATAGCTTAAAATGTGAAGGGTATATAGAAATCAGTGTAAAGAATGAATAAACAACTAAATCCTGATTTTTTTTTACATAGTTCATATCTTGTTATGTTAGTTCTTTTATATGAACTTACAATTGAGCCAGACTGTTTTGTTTTGGGTCCCCCCCCACAAATATGTATAGGTTTTCCACCTTGATTTCAAGATGTTCAAGGAAAGGAACCTCTTCCCTTTCTTTTATATTTTTCTAAATCCACCACAGCTGGCAGTCTTTGGCATTTAGTAAAACTCAGTAAATTTTGATTCACTGGATTTCATCATGACAAAGAATTCAACTTTCTACAACCTCCCGCCACAAAAAAAAAAGCCCAAATCTCTCAGAAAAAAAAAGCAACATTATAATTTCCTATGTGAACTCATGTCGATATATCTACTGTCACACAATTCTTGACTACTAGAAGTGTAAGAAACATTGCACTGTCACTGGCTGGGAGTTTTGTGTCAAGGAATATCAATGAGAAAAAAATTTTGTCAAACTGCTAAGAGAACATGAGCCAATGGCAAATTTTTAAATGGATAAATAAATTGCCAGAAACAGCCTCTGGTTTTTAAAACTTTGGGGGCAGATACAGAACCCAAATAGCTTTTGGCATCATCTGGTACCACTACTGATCAATCTTTATAATTAAGGATAGAAGGATCCAAAGCAGGGCTAGACTACCAGTGTCGGCAGATTTCAGAGAATAGCCATAAACCAAAGAAGAGCAGTCTATTATTGGCTAGAGAAAGAGTCACAAGATTCATACTCATGTCCACAAAACAGTGAACCTTTTACTAGGGATTAAAGTTTAAAATCACACAGCTTAACAGTAATGTTAGTTTTACCACTAGGTGGCAATGAAACAGCTGCATTGCATTGACATGATTAATTCTAAAAACTGCAAATCCAGGCAAAGCAGAAATTCCAATATTTGTGGCACATATTTTCATTTTAGAAAAATTATTTTATATATAGCTTACTTTATAGTAGAACGTATCATTATCTGATTCAAGATGTATGTTAACTTCTGATAGTTTTTCCCACTCTACACTGAGGAAATGAATGCAATGAACACAATTTTTAAGCACTTTCATCACACATCTTCTGAAAAATCTAGACATATATCATGAAGATAACAGAAATTACGGAAAGCTAAAAATATTTTTTGAAGTTTTAGTATTCTACAGAAAGCACTATAAAATGTTATTTTTTAAAAAATTAAACCTTTAAAAAATGACTAATAGAGAACAATTCTAATGTATTTTTAAAAAAATTTTTGGCCAAAATGTGAAATAGCATGGAAACACTTTACTTTTAAATTATAAGTTATATTAATATTAATATATGCAAAGTATTTTCAATGTCTTGAATAAACAGTTTACAAAAAAATTTACCAAAATTCTGATTTAGATTACATTTTAGCAGATTAATCCCTTTTTACACATGTCAAAATAATAAACAACAATATTCCTTAGTGTCTGGCCTTTCCATAATTATTTCTGCTTTCTTCATAAAACAGGATACAAACATGTGACTTATTTAAAATCATAAAAGCTTTATTCTTTTAATTTCCTTTTTTCATCAAAGGGCCAGGTATGACAACATTTTTCAACTTATAGACAACATTTGTGAGTATGCAGTAAAAAACTAACATAAAACAAAAAAACTTATTAAATCTCAAATTCCCAAGATGTTCTCCCATATAAGGTGGGAGCTCATATCATCACACGTAACATTACAAAACCTGTACTACAATTAGATGAATAAATAATAAACCTATACTATTATCAAATTCATAAAAGACCAAATCATCAAATTAATATCAGCCTATTTATTCCCTTTGTATAAATAACATAAAGTTCCCCAGATTTTTAATTCCCAGTTTCCTACAAATGAATTGATAAGAATGCCTCTTTATAGATCAGGTTTCCCATAGTTTCTCTCATTTGGCAATCATTTCCCATATTTACTCCATTTCCAGAATAATTTCCCTCTCTTGCAACTCACACAAACGTAAGAGAACTGAGGTACGATATCCAAATAATTTTTATAATTCATAATTATTCCATTATTGAATTTCATTCTTGACTATAAATCATCCTGAAATCTAATATCTTTCTCATCCTGTCAGTCTATTAAAATATACAAAACACCATTTAAGATGGTTAACACAAGAAACGATAACTATGATAGCTTTCATAAATCAAGCAAAAGATTTCAGAAAAGTGCTCAGTGTGTTATCTCTAACTTTCAGTAGAAAATTTAGGAAATGCCAATGCCACTGTTACAGAAGGTATAATTACAGATTCTAAAAAGTGAAAAAGTGTACATGTAATTTGTATCTATTCAGCATCATCTTCTGATTATCTGTACAAATAAAAGGACAAAAGATACAAATGATGAAAACACATAATCCTCAAACCACCTCAGATACATTTGGCACCTGTATTTCACAGGACCAGGTCTGAGAATTCAGAACATTAAGCCATATTGCAAGGAGTGTAAGTATCACAAACACAATGAGCAGAACAATGATAAAATTGAAATGCCATTATTAACTTGATTTTGTCATCTTCTGTTTATTTCTGATGGTGGCTCGAAGTTTACGTATTACCAGTCTATCAGGTAGAATCATATCACCTTGCTGTTCTAGATAATCCAATAAATTTTCAGTCCATTGGAGAGCAGCGGAATGGTTAATATGTTTCTCTGGAATTAGTTCTATTTCCTCCTCCTCGTTTTCACTGGATTCATCTGTCTGGCCTTGTGCTCTTCTAATGATTTCACTATCAGTTAACACTTCATAGCCTGGTTCGGTACTGTCTATTTCAAGCCATTTTTCAAGGTTCTCAGTAGTCACATTTTCCAGTCCTTTGGTGTGCTGTAAAATGGTAGCCACAGTAGCCACAGAAATATCTTCATCATCAAAGTCCAAACTTTCTTTCTCCTCTATCATAGGGAGAATCTTCTTCCATGCTCTGCTTATGGTAACTGGTTTTACTAAGTTCCATGCCATTGCTATTTCATAAAGTGCATCCAGCAGAGTTAGTTTCTTCCAGAATGATTTCAGGTCATTACCTTCTTCCAAGTTGTTCTGGAGAAGACCTGCACGATAATTTCTCTTCATTGTTGCTATGACTCCCTGATTTGAAGGCTGAATCAATGAGGCCACATTAGGTGGTAAATATTTAGCAAATATTTGGCCATCATCTGACCTTAGGACATTTTCATTTGGATGTGTTGGTGAATTATCCAACAAGAGCACAGCCTTTTCCTGCAAGCCTTTAGATCTTAAATACTCTCGAACTTGTGGCACAAAAATTTTATCAAACCATTGTCGAAAAATGGAAAGGTCCATCCATGCACCTTTTTGGCTGAAATATGAGACTGGCAGGTTTAAAGTGTCAGTTGATTTAAAAGAGCGAGGTTTCTTTGCTTTCCCCACAACACAAAGTTTAAGTTTGTGTAAACCTGTTGCATTGGCACAACACATGATCGTGACTCTTTCTTCAATTGACTTGTGCCCAGGGACAATGCATTTACCTTTGATTACTGAAATCCTAGAAGGTAAGCACTTCCAGAACAGTCCAGTTTCATCTGCATTGTAGATTTGTTCAGGCTGTAAATTCTCTCGTTCAATAAAATCTCTGAAGTTGTTACAAAAATCTTCCACAGCAGTCTCATCTCCATTTAATCTTTCATTTCTAATGTTAATCTCTCTAATGCTGTGCCGCTGCTTAAAACGAGTTAACCAACCGGCAGAGGGGTTAAAATCACCATCCATTCCCAAAGCATAAAAGAAGAACTCCGCCCTTTTTGCACAAATTGGTCCAGATATGGGATTCCCTTTTGCTCTTTGTTGGTTGAACCATTCCAGCATTGCCCTGTCCAATTCCTCATACATGGATGGCTTCATAGATTTCCTCTTGGCCAAAAGACTTGTGGAATCAGAACTGCTTGCATAAGTTATAATCTTTTCCTTATTTTTTCTTATATCCCGAACTGTTGTTTCACCAATTCCATAAATCACTGCCAGTTGTTTGGAAGAACCTCCGTCTTCAAGTTTCTTTATTATATCAAGCTTATCTTTAATAGTCAACACCACACGCTTCCGTTTCCCTGACATAGCGAGGTTCTGGGACTCAGCCCACACTCACAACGTAGCAATCCACAAAATCCTGACTTCTCTTACACAGACTACCTTTAACGGTCTTGACACACTCAGTCTTTCAACCTTACCAGCAACCTGGTGGCCCTGATCCCCTCCCGGGCTGGGGTTGGCTGGCAAACAGACTGTAGAGGAAGGTGAAAGAGGAGGAAGTTTGAGAGAACAGGCCTTTAACTTATACGGGCAGTAGCGGAGGCCCCATGTCACCGCGGATAATCCGGATTAAAGACATGTGTTTTATTACCCCAGCAGCCGCGAGAAAGACTATAGCCCCACCGTGGTCCCGAACCTCCAGCACGTCCAAATCCCGGGTAAGCGCCCGTCACTAACCCCTGCCACACCCCAAAGTTACGGCAGAGAGCGGAAGAGCCAAGGAGTCAAGGACTGGCTCCCTTCCTCAGGGGAACGGATATGTTAGATTCCTTCCCCAGCCAGCAGGGTCCTCCCACCGCGCAGCCCCAGTTCCACGCGCCGGCCTTAGCCAGGACAGTCCTCCCAGTCCCTCACAGACCGCCAGACCCCTCTCCCCACCTCTGTTGCAACCAGGACCCGCACAGCTCCCTGACTACCGCGCGGCAACCGCTCCGCCCCTAGCCACACTCCCGGAAGACGCTCCCTCCCACCGCCCGGCCCCGCCCCTCTCCCCTCCCAGAGGCGGGACTTCCCCTGGTCCCCGGAAGCGGGAGGAGCGTCGCTGGTCTAGAGCTGGTGCCTGGGGCGGAGGCGGAGGCGGAGGCAGAGGCGGAGGCGCTTTGAAAGGTGAGAGCGCGAGGGCGGTGCGGAGCTGGCTCCCGGCTGGGACTCGCTCGCGCTCTCGCTGCTAATGGTTTATTGGAGTGGCAGGGGAAGCCGCGCCTCTTGGCGGGCCGAGAGAAAATTTCCCGCGGGCGCTCTTTGGGTGGACCCAAGGGCGCCCCTCAACCCTTTGCGCCTCTAGCCCTCCTCCTCAGCTGAGCTGCAGTGGGCGCGGTGCCCGTTATTTCCGCCGTGGGGAGGTGCTTGGAACTGATGTGGGGAGCTCAGTTGGTGATTTCTCGGGTTTCTGGCCTGTCCAGACCCTTGTAATTGTTTTCTCGGTGCAGAGCCCTTTTGGGGTCTGGAGGTTTCTGTCGTTCTGCGCGCGTCATCGCCAACCTCTGTCTGAGGGTCCGGTTTCCTAGCTACTGTGCCCCTCCCTCCTGGAGGCAGAGTGACGGACGAGTGGCCTGGCGGGCGCTGGGTGCCTGCGTCCCGCCAAAGAGGTTTGTAATCATGAAAATCACCGTTTCAGGTGTTAATTCCTGAGAGGATCTATTCGTCTGTCTACCACTCATTCCTGCTGGATTAGACTAACCACCTTCATTGTTAACTGATTTTATTGAGTAGTATAGTTATCCCGGATACCATGCTGGCAGGATCCACTTTGCAAAATTGTGGCTTGTTGGACTGTGATTCTAAATGGGGGAAATTGGCTTTCCTCTCTTTATATTTATTTCCCTATTTCTGTCATGTTCTACTGTCCTGTTTTCCAGCCAATAGAAGGACTATGTTAAATATATTCACAGCAATGTGATAAGAACTTGATCATAATCATACACTGTAGCCCTCAAATCGTGTATTATGCTGGCTTGTTTTTGGTGTCCCTAGTAATTTCATCAGATTGTGAGCTCTTTGGAAGCAGAGACCATGATGTTTATTATATCGGGTGGCAGCACAGTTCCAAGCAGGTCCTTGTCTTTTGGTAGATATTCAGTAATTATTTTTTTTGCTTATTAATGTTGGCTCTCCAAACTGCCATATAAAAGAAAACATCAAAGAGGGGTGACGTTTTACGCACAAGAATGGATCCCTCCCAGTGGAAGTCCAAATTATGATCTGGGATTCCACTGCCTTTCACATCTCCAAAGTGTTAATTACTACCTGCATTGTTTATACAGCAAGTAGGTGATTTCTAGAATGAATCTTTTTTTGAGTATGAATTAACCTCAAAGTTTACAAGGAATATATTTCTTCTGATGAGAAAGTCAAATGGCATCATCAAATTATCTTTCTTTTAGCTATAGAGATACTGTGTTACAGAAAGAATGCAAGCAATATGGATTATTGCCTTTAATATATATTCTTTGGCAGTTAACATAGCCATGTATATGCATCTTGTAACCATGAAACACAAAGATGTGATAGTATTGATTGTCTTCATTCAGTTATTTAATGCTTTCTGTTTCTTTTTCTCTTTGCTTAAAGGTAAGGTATCATTACAGAAGCTTGATAAAATTCTCATTTCAGGAAATTAAGTTTATATTCAGCATATACTGAAGTAACATTCATTTGCATGGATTCTTTTTTGAGTAGATTCTAAAGACCAAGATGTCTTACCCATCAAACTAGCTTTTCCTTTACATTTCTCTTTCAAGTTTGACTCATCTTTTCCCTCTGTTACTGTTCTTCCCTTCCCAACTAATACAGTAAAGATATCTACAATTTAACAAGAGGAGCCAAACATGTTCAAATTATCTTTCCTTTTCAGTAGCAGAATTTTTTTGCCTTATTAATATGAATGGTCATTTTGAAATATGAGAGACCCTGGCAGTTTGGCAGTTGGTCCAATGAAAGCCGATTTAGTTTGTTTAAATAATTGATGCTGCCTCAAGCATTCGAATTCTGCTGTTTTCCAAAATATTTTTTCTCATCAGAGACTGCCTTTCTATGAAACTTTACTTTTGGGCTCACTGGGGACTCCTTCAAGTTTTGCAATTGGAGTTATTAATAAGATGATAGAGGAAAGTCTGCAAATTTTCATCTCTTTTACACATTGTTTTCTTGCCTAGTGAATAATGTTTTCCAGAAGTTTCTGGCCTAACTCATGTGCAGTAAAATTCAGTTACATAATTTTTTTAAAAAGCATGTTTGTAAACTCTAAGCCATTTTAATGGTCATTTTTCTGAAACTAAAATATAGCATGAATAAGAGATAAAATAATGATTTTTTTAAAGCTTAGTTTTTCCTACCTTGCACAAATATGATATTGGCAGCAGTCATTTTGTGGCACTGGATGGGGAATCAAGAGACCTGGTTTCTAATCCCTGCTCTGTCACTAACAAGCTGTGTGATCTTTGGTAAGTCATTTAAACTCTGTGTCCTTGGCTTTGATATTTATACATAAAAGTAGATATCTTCCTCCTAGGATCTAGAATTTTTTTCAAGATTTAAAAATAAATATGAAAATGCAGTAAAAACTTATTGTTTTTTTAATAGCTTAACTGTACAGTCATAAGTTTTTAATAGTGTGACATTTTTAATCATTTCTATTGTCATAGGAATCACCTGTTTTGTGATAAATAACTGACATTTTTGGCATGTTATAGTTTTGTAAGATAATCATCTAGTGTATATGAATTTGCTTTTGGGTACTAATAAAAATAATCTTTCACTTTAATGTTCTTTACTGTCCATATTTGCTTTAGTGTATCTACTGCAACTGTATTTGTCATTGTTTTCATAAATGTCTTTTCATTATTTCTCCCAATCAAACAGGTTTATTAGAAAGCTATACTTTGTTATTACAATGTAATATGCTACACGTGCACATATGCACAATTAGCTTATGCAAATTTATGTGTTTACAAATAGTTCTTTGTACTATATGGCTTAAAAATACAAGATGCCTAGTTCATGTGGTGCTTAACCAAAGAAACAGTAAGCCGTTTAAAATCTGAAGGAGAAACTGGTTGGACATATTGTAACGCAGTATGTTATACACAAAACCATACTTTAAGGGTAATATAGAGTTTTTTTAAAGGGTAATTTTGACTACACACAATTTTCATCTTTGCTAATTTTAATATAAGCCTTTTGTAAGGTGCAACCCAAGTGTAATTTCAAATAGCAGACTGCTCTTTTGACCAGAATTTGTTAGATTGCTATTACAATGCTGATTATATCTTATAGTAGTTACTGTCATAAGGTTATATTTTAGGCAATGGCTCACACCTGTAATCCCAGTACTGAGGCGAAGGTAGGAGGATCACTTGAGGCCAGGAGTTCAGGACATAATGAGACTTCCATCTCTAAAAAAAATTTAAAAATCGAAACAGAAAGATCGCTTGAACCCAGGAGTTCAAGGCTGCAGTTAATCTATGATCATGCCATTGCACTCCAGTCTGGACAAACAGAATGAGACCTGCCTTTTAAAAAAAAAAAAGTTGTATTTCATCTTACACACTACAATTTCTGGTGTATAATCTTGGCAGCCCCTGTTCTGATTTTACACGAGGTGTTACCATTTTACAGAAAGTCTTATTGTTGTATAAACATACCAGAATTTATGCAATTAAATGAGATATACCCTCTCTTCCATAGTCTATAGGAAAAAAAGTAATCCTCTTGGAAAACTAGAAATATAGTTCAGTAATATTGCCATTGCTCAAAATGTTTTTGGCATTGAATTTTTGTAATTATCTTCAGAATTTGCAGCATATTTTTTGAATATTTTTAATGATAGTTAATTCTCATCTTGATAAGTTGGATTTCATTTCTGCAAGCTGCTAACAGGTCTTTACAACTGAGACAAGTGAATGCACTAGGTGTTGAAGCCACTGTTTGGGATAAAAAATGAAGTGTGATTATTTTCATATTTTTAGATTTTTATTTTTTTTTATATAGTGTGTGGTTTATAGAAAGACTCCAGGAATATTCTGTGCTGTGGTGGAAATACTGGAATAATCAACCTCATAAGGTGATTTATTTGGCGGGGATGGCTGTTAGTTTAACATATAATCTCTAACACATGTATTTTGAGGTCAGTTTCATTACATTGTGGTCATATTTCTATTCATTGACAACCACAGAAGTATGTACATATTACTTTTTTTCTATTTATCTTACCTGTCACTAATTGTTCTTTTAATATATTCTTGTCATAATTTTAATGGAATTCATGCTTTTCTAAATGATAAACTGACAGCTTTTGTTTTCCTTCCCAATACCGTGCTCTGCTTTGCCAGGAAACTTGTTTGTTTAATTCACCTAACTACATTATTGGATTGTTAGTTAAGTTTTCTATTGGATTGTATTCTATCTTTAACTTTGAGGTAAAGCCACTCCCATTTTACGGAGGTATAAAGAGGCCACAATCTTAGTGGATATGTTATCTCTCAATTTTGCACTGCTCTCTTTTTTATGTCATTCGTTACTTTATAACTTTCTTTGTGTAAATTGATCTTTTATAATTTATATTATTTCTCTATTCAGAATCTTTGCCTACAGGGTGAGTCATCCTGGTAATCTCATTCAGTTTTCTATTCTTTTCTCCTTTTTTCCAGCATAGAACTCTTTTTTTATACATTTCAAGCCACGCTTATTTACTGAACATACCATCTTCTTTCTTAAAGCCAGAGTTTGGTCTTTATCGTTGTTACTTGCCTGACATCCCTTTTTCTTTTATTCTTTCTGCTCAAATACAATGAATCCTTCAGAATGCTGTCAGATCACGTCTGTTCAAGATAAAGTGAAGGACTTGCCTTACTGATTTCCCTGCATCTTTCCACTTCTATTGCAGTTATTTATGTTATTCATTTGATACTAAATACTACCTTTAAATGTTCTTAATTATTCCATGTTTTAGTTCTACACAGAGATAATAATCTTCTAAAGGACAGGACTGTGGTTTTTCTATGATCAGCACAACATACAACATAATTCAGAATAGATGTTCATATAATTATTTCATAGGCATTCAGTAAATTATTTGTTAAATTATTGTTCTGCCATCTTCACTCAGATATTTCATGTGATTTTGCCTTTGTGGACCATTAAATGAAGCCAAATTAATATAATTTGTACCATAAATGCATTCATTGCTGTTATCTGGTTATCACTGTTATATTCCTAACAACTTTATTTTGTAGAAGCTTAAGTGAAAATGGTACATGTTAGAAGACATGAAACAAGGAAAAATTCTAAAAGTCACATGCCTGAGCAGAAATCTCGAGTTGATTGGAGGCGAACTAAAAGAAATAGTATCTCACAATTATGTGATAGCGATGAAGAGCTTGATAATGATGAAGAATTTGATAGTGATGAAGAGCTTGATAGTGATGAAAGTGTTGATAATTACGAAAGTTTTGATGATGATGAAGAGCTTGATAGTAACAAAGGACTTGATTGTGATAAAACACTAGGAAGTGCAAGAGAGCTTAAATTAAGTAAAGATGAAAGTGAAGGAAATGACAGTAAGAATCTCATTAACACTGGCAACAGTTCAACCTACGTAGAAGAAATGAACAAAACCAAACCTAGGAATATTGACTTACAAGATCAGGAAAAAATTCTAAGTCAAGTGGATAATGTTCCCAACAAACAAGCTGGACAAATAATAGAGGATGATTTAGAGGAAGAACACATCAAGCGAGGTAGAAGAAAAAGGCTGTCCTCTGTGATGTATGACAGTGATGAGAGTGATGACAGTGATATCCTAATTAGAAAAGTAGGTGTTAAACGTCCACGTAGAGTGGTTGAAGATGAAGGTTCTTCAGTGGAAATGGAGCAGAAAACTCCTGAAAAAACATTAGCTGCACGAAAGCGAGAACAACTTCAGAAGCTGAAAGAACTCTCAAAGCAAAGATCTCGTCAGAGACGCAATAGTGGTAAAGATTGTGAGGTGTGTTATGTTTTGTTGGTTTTGTTATTGTTTTTTAATTTTTTCCTTAAAGTATTTAATTTTTATAAAAATCAAAGTGCTTAGTCTGTTCCATTTCTCAGTAATTCTAGAATTTGTTTTTTAATCAAGTGTTCTTAAACATGTTTCATTACACTGTTGTACCTATATACTGTTTTATCATGAGCCTCAATCTGTCCTTCTTTCCTAAATTGAAAGACTATTTATTAGTTGGTATGATCTTTTTTGTTTTTTACTTCTTATAATTCTAATGTCCATTTTAAACATTTTATATCACTTAAGGTATATTTTTCCTACCAATAATTTCAGAAGTTCAACATTTAATATGACAAAATTATTTATTTTTAACCATAAAATATGAAGTTAATTTCTGTAGATCATTTTTTTGCTGTCAGATTTATCTGTCTTTTAATTTTTTATCCATACTTTCCATTTTAATGGCACAATTTACTGAAGCATTTATTTTAATTTAATTAGGACTCTGAAAAGGAATCCTGCCCAAGCAGTGATGAAGATGATGAGGAGGAAGGAGAGGATGATTATGAATCTGATGAAGATGGAGATGATTATATTATCGATGACTTTGTAGTGCAAGATGAGGAGGGAGATGAAGAGAATAAAAACCAACAAGGCGAAAAATTGACTACATCACAACTGAAATTAGTAAAACAGAATTCTCTTTGTAAGTTCAATATTAAGAGTATTTTATGATTTGTTCTTATCAGGATATTATATCAAGTATCAAATTAGCCTTTTCTTATTTTTCTTTTTTGGGACGGAGTCTCACTTTGTCACTCAGGCTGGAGTGCAGTGGCGAAATCTGAGCTCACTGACGCCTCCACCCCCCAGGTTCAAATGATTCTCCTGCCTCAGTCTCCTGAGTAGCCGGGACTACAGGCATGTGCTACCACACTGGGCTAATTTTTTATATTTTTAGTGAAGATGGGGTTACAGCATGTTAGCCAGGATGGTCCCGATGTCCTGATCTCGTGATCTGCCCACCTCAGCTTCCCATAATTCTGGGATTACAGGTGTAAGCCACCACACCCAACCCCAAATTAGCCTTTTAATATCATGTTCTAAATCATTGACTAGGAACTGTGGTTTCATTTTCAGATAACCTTGTCATTTTAATAGTTTATTCCAGTGGTCTCAGGAACCAGTTACATTTTTTTTTAATTAGTCGTCCTCACAGGCCTTTACTTCAGTGAGTTATGTCTGTCAGTATGCCCCCAGAGACCTCTAATAACTCACTGAATTAAAGGCCTGTGGGGGCTAATAATTTTAAATGTAGAAATCAAGACAGAGAAATTCAAAATATATTCATTAATTCATTTTAAATAACCCTTAGTCAATTTATTACATTAATATAAATAACAATTTTATGAACAGTAACTATATTTTCCCCCAAAATGTGAGAAATGGCATTGTTTTACATTCTTGTAAGTCTTTAATGTCTAGCTTACAGAAGCCAGCTAGATTCTTATATCTGGTTTTACATTCAGTCTGTTGTGACATGTTGTTTTGGTTGACATGTATAAAAACAATTTTGCCTCACACAGGTAGCTGGAAAAGGAAGGAGTATCTTGATAGAATTTTTTAAATAATTGTCGTTATTCTCATTTGGTACTATGCCAAAATTTGACTAATGATACTACTTTCTTAAAGGTAATATGGAATTCTAAACCCAAGTAAATGAACTTTTAGTACTTGTATAACCATTGGTCTGTCTTGCAGTTTAAATAGATCATTTCCCCACGCATGAATCTCTGATAAAATTCATCGGTCATTTGGAAAAAATTGGTTCACTGGATGATACAGATCCTCCAAATATTGACATATTTCATTATATATATATTTTAAATTATATTCATAAATATCACCACCAGTTCCATGAGACTATTTCTAAAGTATTGAGAAACTGTCAGGCTCACAATGGCACATACAAGTTTTTCAGAATTGTAATTTCTACTTTAAAACTTGATTCTTTTCATTGGCAACAAAACACCGTGAATTCTTCTTTTTGAACTAACAGGCTTACTTTGTTCTTTTTTAAGAAAAGTCTAACAGATTCCAAGCTGAATAACCAGAGCTTATCACTCTTTCAACTAAAAATGGTATTTCTTGAAAAATGAGGCTTTTCCCCAGCACACACAGTTGCACAGGTGTTTTTCCCCAGAACAATCATTGTACTTTGGTATGCAGTATAAGTACTTTTTTGCACTATCCATTTCATCCCATAGAATATACAAAAATGTGTACTTCAGAGTCAAAATTTCATAAAATTAATAGTTTTGCTACTTCAAAAAGGGCATTCTTATGTATAAGTGGCTTTTTTACTGTGAGTGCCTAGCAGTAATGACTGTAGTGATTACTAGTAGTACTGCTGCCATGATTCAAATTAAGGGACCAAGTGACTTGGCCATCGCTGCTTTTATATCATTAATAAAAATGTCAACACAGCGAAAGAAGCAAATAATATCTTACTGTTATTACTTGAAACCACAGATTTCCTTAAATGGACTTGGGCACTCTCAGGGGTCTGCAAACAAACTCTTTGAGAACCATTGGTTTAATCAGACCTTTTCAAGCTTCACTAAACTAATCAGAGATAGGACATTACTTACATGAAAGTATAAATCATGGAACCTGAACATGTAGGATATACTTAAATTATTATTATTATGGTTCCTATAATTGTACAAAATTTCAAAGATTGTTTTTATGATGTTTTGCAGCTCTGGTAGGAACAGGCTGGATACATTTTCCATTTTTTTCTTTGAGCACATTCTTTCCAAATATTGCAGAAAAGGCCATATTGACTAAAATTAACTATAGCATAATTTGATTTATATCTCATGATTTATAATAAAATAGATTTTGAGATATGAATTAAATTTCAAGAAATTTGGCAGTTAGAGATGCCAGTTACAGGCATCTCTGTGCTACAAGTGAATGACTGTTTTCCTTGTATCAATAGGCATTGGCTCACTTGACACCTGGGCATGTAAGTTACAGGAGTGCTCAATTAGGAGATATCCTATTCTGGGTTATCTGGAATGTGATAGAACATTTGTTGAGAGATCTCCACTCATACCAACTCCTGCCAATTAATGAAAATAAAAGACTAGCATATGGGAACTTCAACTTCTCTACACCTTTTATGCTTTTTTTTTTTTTAAGGGCAGCTTTGGAGTTATAGAAATACTGAATGGAATGTACAGACTTCAAAAATACCCACTCGCGTACAGTTTCCCCTATTATTAACCTCTTTTATTAGTTTGGTACCTCTGTTACAATTATTAACTGTAGTTCATAGTTCATAATAGGGCTCACTCTTCAAGTAGAACCTTTTATGGATTTTGACAAATGTGTAATGACATGTAGCTACCATTACAGTATCATACAGAGTAGTTTCATTGTCCTCAAAATCCCCTGTGCTCTAATTCATTCTCCTTTCCTCCTTCCTGAATCACTGGTGTTTTTAACTCTCTCCATAGTTTTGCTTTTGCCAAACTGTCATATAGTTGGAATCACATAGCATATAACTTTACAGCCTGTCTTCTTTCACTTAATAAGATGCATTTAAGTTTCCTCCATGTCTAAACATGGCTTAATGACACATTTCCTTTTATTGCTGAATATTTTTCATTGTATGGATGTACCACAGTTTTGTTTATCCATTCACCTATTGAAATACATCTTGGTTGCTTGCAAGTTTTGGCAATTGTGAATAAAGCTGCTATAAATATTTGTGTGCAGGTTTTTCTATGGACATAAGTTTTCAACTCATTTGGGTAAATATGAGGAAGCTTCCTTTTAATACTGAGGCTTCCGTTTAATACTGAGCATCTCTACCTCAAGAAGATGTATATGTATTTATACAGATGTATATGTATTCCTAATTACAGCTTCTCATCCAGCTCTATTATCTACTCAGTTCTCTTTATTTTCAATGATTTAATCCCTACAAACTGTTTTTCCTCAACTTGTAACCAAGTTCATGCCTTTGCTCCTTCGAGCTGGCATGTTGCGTTAGCTACTATTTTAAATTTTATCTTTTTGTTCCTGTTTCCCAATAACTCTACAAAACACTGTATTTGGGCTTTTGCTGTGTCAATCCAGTGAAATTGTTCTTAAGTTATTGATAACCTCCTAGTTGCCAGAATACCTTTAGTTCAACACCTACCAGGTGTTACCACATACTTCACTACTGTTGACCACTCTCACTTTCAAAATGCTCTTCTTTTACCTTCTGTGGTAGCCCACATTCTTACATTTCCCTTTGTAATATTCCTTTCATCATTTTCTGTTTACCCTGTAAATTTTGATGTTTCCAGGGGTTCCACCCTCAACTGTCTTCATTTTGCTTGTGGGTTTGGACAGTCTCTTTTCCATTACTTCAGTCCAGTCTTTAAGCAAAAATTCCCAAACCTTTATCTCTAGCCAAGATTTTTCATGAACATAAAGCCTGATTTTTTAATTATTTTATTGAAGATTATTATCAGACTTTCAGACATCTCAGGCTCACTAGGAAGAAAATTGAATGATTAGCAGGTAATATGAAGGAGTTTTGAGTGGTAATACAACTCTTTTGGTGGTGGTTATGTAATTTTATGCATTGCCATTGAACTGTATACCAAAAAGAGTAAATAAATTTTATGGTGTATAAAGTAGCAAAGCTCAGTAAAACAAGCCATATGGGTGTCCCTACTTCCAAAAAACAAAAACGAAACCTAAATGGTTAACCAGCTTCCTTTCTCTGTATTTCTGTTACCCGTTAGAATTTGTGACACATTATAGGAACTCATTGTTGGTTGGGTAGATGGTTATGATAAGCATATTGGCTGAAGACTCCTAAATGTTACAGTTCAGGACTCAGAGAAATATTGGGCATCCGAGTTTTTCAAACGTTAGAGAAAAAAAAAATAATACATTCTAGTGTGATACTTTGATTGAATTGATGTTTTTAATATTTAGCCGTTCTGTGCCATATTTAAATATAAATAAAATTTAATGTACACAGTTTTCAATTTGCCAGGAAATTATGTTCTAAAAATTGCTATAATTCTTACATTTGAAAAATCAAACTACATGACCTCACTAAAACAATAACCTATATGATGAATAATGAACCACTTTATGACTTGGGTTAAGTTGTAATTAGGGAAGTATTCCCAGTTTCATTCTCCTGCCAGCCAATCATATTCAACATATCAGAATTTGGGAGAAACATCTCCTAACTCTAAATTCAGTATTCAGCTGACAATCAGAATCAGTAGTCTATGCACTTTGCCTTTTTGAAGTGAAGAATTCTAACCTGTGGGAAGACATTTTGTAATTTCTTTTCTGCCACTTGGCTCCAAAAGATGCATCTGTTCTACTTTAAAACATGGTAGTTTCCCTCTTACTTCATAGTTGAAACAGTTGAAGACAGTTATAGTCTTTTTCAGTTATAGTATTTTTCATCAATCCCCATTATATTTATATTTATATTATTTTTATATTATGTCTCTTTATATTTATTCTGAAACAACAACTCTTGGAAAAGATATGGTAAGGAGTAGACAGGGACAGACTAGCAGTGATCCATTGCATACCACATTTACATAGTTCACACATTAAAAATATTGTATGCAAGTAGAGAGATAGGAAAAACCTTCAGATTTTTGGATACTAAATATTATTTATCTAGTACTCTATTATATGTTCAGAGTGACAGAATCAAGTAGTAGAGATAATAGCAGAATACATTTCAGTCTACTAGTGCCTTGCTAGAACACTGGAAATTAGACTGAGTGAACATCAACTTAGTCTCCACCTACTAATTAAAGAAAACCATTCTACTAACACAATAAAAGAGTGGGTCTACGAACATACTCAGAGCCATTTATGTTAAACATCAAATCTTAGAACTTTCCCTTTGTTCTAGGATAAGTAAAAAGTAGCTGTGAAATTATACTGCAGTGTAAGGTAAAGATAAACTCTGGGGAAAAAAAACTGTAAAAAGTATTTCATTAAAGGAAACAAGAAAATGGTATAGAGCATTTGCTATGTAGTCTATGAAGAAGAAATTATAGGGAGAGAACAATTTGAGGTGAAAGAGAGCTAGTTCAGATAAGAATTGCCAAAAAAAATTGAAATATAAAGTCAGAAATAAAGTCTGTATTGAAAGCAGTAGAGAGCAGAACTAACATTCCAGAAAATTTCATGAATGACAGGAGATACTTGAGAAGTTCTAGGGTAGAGAATAAAAAAATTGTTATAAAGGAGAAGATAATAAAAGACTAGAAATGAAGAACCTATTTCATAAATTTGGGGGAGGGGGTGGCAGAATTATAGAACAAATGGAAATCTAAAGGAAAATTTTATAACTTTAGTTAGATATATAAAAGATTTGAATGTATTAAAAATCATACCATATTTTTGGATGGAAAAACAAGATACAAATTCAAAGTTATTATAGAAGAAAGTATTCTTGAAGTATTTTCATAACACATAACACATTGATGCAGATTAAAGAAGCTTACATTCCTAATAAATTGATGAAAATAGTTTGCAAACAGATGTGTGAACTATTTTTCTAATTACAAAAATAAAGATCTCTAATCATTCATTTTAGAAATATAAAATGACTTAAAATTAGAAGTCATTAATATATTACATAAATATATCAATAGATAAAATCATATAATTTATGGAGATTCTAGAAAAAACATTTGATAACATTCAATGCGCATGCCTGGATTTTAAGAAAAGCAGTTGTTAAAAAATTAGTAATAGGAGTGTATGTCCTTTACATGACAGTATTTTAAACCAAAAGATAACAGCATACTTAAAATGAAACACTAGATGTACTTTCTTTAAAATGAGGAACATGACAAAAATATTTTCTACTTTGTTCTAGATGTTTTGAAAAAAGCAACAAGACATGAAAACAAAATAACTATTGAAAAAGGAAAGATACTATTTGAACATATATTTGTGTGTGTGTGTGTGTGTGTGTGTGTGTGTGTGTGTGTGTATTATGTACACACACATAAGCTAAAAGTTTCTGACTTATTTAACCAAGGATACCGAAGTTAAGAGAAGGGATATAAATATTTTGACAGCAGAAGTAGATGTAGCATATCTTTCCATGGCTTGCATCACAGTCCTTTTGCCCTGCAGGGGTGAAGGTAGGGGAGCTATGTTAAAGTAGAAAAATGAGTTAGTTTCTTGTTCTGCCTCTGCCTCATATGCTAGGCTGATACCTCCATTCCAGAAGGAAGTACATCAAGAATCTATATACTTTTACTTAAAGAATATTCATAAACATTCGCTTGGTGATTGAAATAAATTTAGCATTAGCAAGACCACATCCTCCTTAGGGTCATGGGTGAAAGCAGAGATAGTGTCCAGGAATCCTTTAACAATGTCTATCTCCAGCTCTGTAGTGTTCCAGGAAGCTTATCTCCCAGAAATATCCAAGAGAATCTGACTATTTTGAAATTGGCAAAAGATCTCAGAAAAAAAATCACCAGATTCACACTAAGTATGTAAATCTCAATGGTTTTCTTGTATACTAATAATAATTACTTAAGTCATGTAATCAAGAAAAATTCCATCTACAATGGCAACCAAAATAAAGTTCCTTAGTCTGGTATTAAAAAGAAAAGTATGGCTTTATAGGTTAAAAAAATACACTTTACTGTGAAACAGAACAGAAAACATGAATACGTGCAGAGACAAGCGTGTTTCTGAAAGGTAATATGTATAGAAGAAGAAGTTATTTCTTCTGAATTAATTTTTTTGGTTAAACTTTGCAAAATAATTCTGAAGAATGACAGCCAGATCAGTAGGAAGGGTAGGTGGTATTGAAACAAATGTTAGCATATATGTAAAATTAGTATATGATACAAGATACGTGGAAATCCAAGAATGATTACAGTACCAAATGATTGGATATAGGGAAATTGATTAACTACCTTAGAAAAAAATAAGTTATACATAAACACAAATACAGTTTTCTCTTTTACATTTTTCAGTTTTTTAAATAGTCATGGGGAAAGCTTATTTAAAATAAAGTATTTAAAATATTGTTTAAAACAATATTCCTGGGACAGTGCACTGAAGCTCATCCAATATAGGGGTTAAAGCACTATGAGAAAAGCTCTGGAGGAGAGCCGAGCGCTAAGCCTTTTTTTGTCTCCATCTAGTTGTGTCACCTTGGATAAGTTATTTTGTCATGAGAATGCCATTTTTCTTAAGATTGGAGATTTGAATTTTATTTTCTCTAGTTTTCCATCCAAGTCTAAATTCTGTGTTGTGACATATAATATCAAATCTAACTACCATGTATAACAATATTTAACTAGAGGATAGGAACATGAAATCTGGAGTTAGACTGGGTTCCAGCCCTAGTTCCAAAACTTACTAGCTGATTGGTCTTAGGAAAGTTTTTCATCCTCTCTATATTTCAGTTTCCTCAATCAGAAATGAATCTAGTGTAATGATAGTATCCCACAGGCTGTTGTGAAAAATAAAGCAATGCATGTAAATGCTTAGAATGATTCCTGGCATATATTTTCTTGGTAATATTATTTTTTAATCTGAAATTCCAGGAGCATTATTCCACCGCCATCCACCAGTCCACTCAAGTGTAATGAAATAGGGCCGTTTTTCCTGACTTTTTTGAAGTACATTCTGATATATATTGATAAAAGAAGAATCTTATGGTTGGGGACAAAACTCTTCAAATGATTTTGATCTCTGACCTTTCCATTTCCTCTTAGGGTCTTTGAACTAGAGCAGCAGTTAGTTGTCAAAATTCTGTAGCAGATGAGCAGCATTGGGCATTAGGACATTCAGGAATGATAAATTCAGTAGGATGAAATATTTTATTGCAGTTTGTATAGTTAAACTTAGGTGCACATGGGATGAATTTGATTTTTTTCTCAGCACATCTGTTAATATTCCGAGTTTCTCTTAATACCATTTGAAATATGCTACTATAGATAGAGTTTAGATGGATTTTAACACAAAATTGCTCAATGCCATATTATATCCAGAGTTTGATAACAGTCCAGTCAAAGTTAAATTCTACTGAAGTATTATTTTTCAATTTTGCTCTACTGATTTTTGAGAAAATATTCACTAAAAGCCACGATTAGTGCTCTTATACTTTTCTTTTTTTTTTTTTTTTTTTGAGATGGAGTCTCACTCTGTTGCCAGGACTGGAGTACAGTGGCACGATCTCGGCTCACTGCTGCCTCCACCTTCTGGGTTCAAGTAATTCTCCTGCTTCAGTCTCCCAAGTAGCTGGGATTACAGGTGCCCACCACTACACCCAGCTAATTTTTTGTATTTTTAGTAGAGATGGGTTTCACCATGTTGGCCAGACTGGTCTTGAACCCCTGACCTCCTGATTCCCCCTCTTTGGCCTCCCAAAGTGCTGGGATTACAGGCATGAGCCACAGAGCCCAGCCAGTACTCTTATAATTTTCAGTTGATCATGGGCCATCTAAAGGCTAATGCCCAGTCAAATGACCTACTATTGTCATTTATTTTTATTATTACTTTGTTTTTGTCTATTTAGCACTTCTATAGGTGTCTCCTTAGAAAAGAATGCATTCTAAAATGTACCCTAAAGTCTGAAAAAGAGTTATAGAGCCCTTTTAGTAACCAAAATATAAGTGAAGACGGTTTTCCATGTTTAATCCCATCTTTCTTTTTACTTCAACTGGAAGAAAAGTCAAAATCTATCCATGGTTACTTATGATAGATCTTATTTTGCTTTAATACTTGTCAGACATCTGTGTTTCCTAAAATACTCAGGCTTCCCTTGTATGTCTTCATATGTGCCCTGAATAGGGCATGTATTCTACAGTGACTGTTAGATCAAGGAAAGGGTCATGGTTGTTAGAGAACATTTCCACAGCTATAGTCAACTCTGATCCAAAAGTAATGAGAATAGTAGGAATCTTCTCTCTTATCGCTGCCTGGCCTGTCACAACAGATGATGTCATGTATGAGATTTGGTTAGTGAGAAAGCGGGCTTAAATATGTGGTATGGGGAAGGAAATACACAAGTTTTCTAAATTGATGTAGAAATCCCTAAATCTAGGGCAGCATGAAAAGTGAAATGGAGTTTTTTTATAGCCATTGGGGTTCTGGCTAAAGTAGCAGCTTCCTGGACAATTTCCTAGGTAATGTGTTTTACAGAATAAGACATATTAGTAAACTGTCTTTGGAGGTTTTCTCTCCTGTTCTCTCACTCTAAGTGTCAAATTGATAAATATTGGTGTACAAGGGATAATTTTTAGTTTTCCAGAACATATTTTAATATTCTCTGTACAGTTTTCTTAAGTTTGGGAAGTGAAGATTTGAAATAACAAGTAGACCCTTTAGACTGGAAGCCAATGTTTGGAAAATGGGGATTTTTCTCACTGACTAGACAAGTCGTCGAAGAAGCTATGAAATTAGGATGATTAAGCTGTTTCTGCTATCTATAAAGTTTTAATTTCCTAGCATTGAAGAATGGAATGCATTCTAGTCAACAAATTATGTTGTCTGCTCTATTCTAATATTTATTTAAAATTAATTTCAGATTCTTTTAGTGACCACTATACTCATTTTGAAAGAGTTGTGAAGGCTCTTCTGATCAATGCTTTAGATAAGTCTTTCCTGGGAACATTGTATGGTAAGTTAATAGTATGAATGAAATAATTGGTTTTTATTACTTTTTCCAATTTTAAAACAACCTCACTTTTAAAATTATGTAGATTAAACAAAACCAACAAGGATCATTCGTAAGATTTTCCAGTTTTTTCCCTGTAGGATCAACTACAACAAAACTTCGTGTAAAATGCTTGTTAGTGTTTATTATCTGAGATATATGGAAAGTAAGTTTGTGACAGGTCCTTGTCCTAGAGAGTTAACAGTGGATTTTACAGTGTAACAGATAAAACAGCAGAGTGTCTTAATACTCATGTGCCAAACCAGCTTCCCTGAGCTGTGAAAGTCACTAAAAGTTCCATGTTTTTTCTACTTTTGTGCCTTTGCCCATGCTTTTCTTCTTAGAATATAATCCCTTTTTGTCCCAGATGTTTTAGGTGAGTATAAAAACATATCTACTATGAAGCTATCCATGACCCATTCACATAATATTTGTTATTCTCATTTGTGCCGCCATCATCCTGATTATGGTGGTACTCATGGTACTCATTTATATGCACTTCTCATATTGTATTCAAAATGCATTTTTCAATATGAAAATACCATCATCCTGAGTATGGTGGTACTCATGTATATGCACTTTAGATATTGTATTGAAAATGTATTTTTGCTTTCTTCCTTTATCACAGTGTGGGAGCAAATTTATATATATTTTCATAGGAATCTAATAGTGCAGGAATCTAATATTTCTTAAGTCACTGTCATATCCCCAGCACTCTGCTGTTTTATGTGTTAAATATTCCTGCACTCATGTTACTTAAAGTCTAATGGGAGAGACAGACAATAAATGAGTAAGCATAATGTAATATGATTTCAATAAGTGATTAGTTGTTATAAAAAAGAATAAAATAGGGTAAGGAGCTAGAGAAAAAGGGAAGGTAAAGTTTATGTTGTATGTTAGTTCCAGCGGTCAAAGAAGGCCTCTTAGGAGGTAACTTTTAACAGAAACCTGAATGAAGCAAAGGGAGCAAGTAATACGTGGATCACTTGCTTAGCAGAGGGCAAAGGAAGTGCTAAGGCCTTTAAGAAAGAATAAGTCTGGTGTGTTCAAGAGCAACTAGAAGGCCTGTGTGGCTGGAATGGAATGAGATAGAAGAGAGGGAGAAGAGAGGAGCTCAGAGCAGTAGGCTGAGGACAGAAGCCATGGTTAGGTGTTTGAATTTGTGATGATTTTACGAAATATGATAAATTCATTAGCTAACTTAATTAATAAAACTTCCAGTAAGTCAGGAAAATAAAGCTTGAATTCATACTGTGACACATATATAGCTTATATACTATGAGCCAAATCAGGAAGGCAGTAATGAGTATAGTATGCTAAAGAAGAGGGGGAAAAGCCCTAGCCAGAAAAGAGCATTCTGATTTGTTGAAACAAGTTACCATGGAATCAGTAGAATAAAATCAGTTGCAGATGACCTTGAAAGTCTACTCAGAAGTTTGAGCTTTATCTGGAATTCAGGGGCTAATCCATGTCAGTTTTGTATAAGAGAATAAAATATAATTTGGCAAGATTTTTCATCTGGCTTTTTTTGTTATCAGAAAATAATCTTAAAGCTTGTTTTATACTTATAAGGAGAACTATAGAGTCCTTACTCTGCTTTTCTTAATATTCTGATAGAATTTTTTTTAAATATTTTTTTCTAATGTAAAATGTTCCCAACCAAGTTGGGAAGAAATTTTTAAGTATTAAATTGTTTAAATATTTCTAAATGATTTTTTTGTTATTTATCCCCTGAACAGATGGCAAGAGGCAAAAATCATATGCAAAAGATATGCTCACATCTCTTCATTATTTGGATAACCGCTTTGTTCAGCCTCGTCTAGAGAGTTTGGTATCTAGAAGTCGTTGGAAAGAACAATATAAGGTAATAACAGTTTGTTTTTGAATCTCTGCTTGGGGGTTGGGGCAGCAGACCTCTCAGGATTTAAAATCTAGACTGAATAATCTTCTAAAATATTGGCATTTCATTGTTAAATAATCAGCTTATTATTTCTCACATCTTCTAAAAGCTATTATTGTTTTAATCATTCACATTAACTGTATCTAGCCAATAATTAAATCGTTCCAAATGATGAATTACTTTAGAACAGGACTTAGCTCATCTTTTAAAATGAGATCATCTCACAGGGTGTTGTTACATCAAAAGAGATAGTTCCATAGCCAAAGAAATTTGAGAATCAGTGGATTTAATGTGATCTGGTTTCTTTACTGGAAGACTTTTCCCGAGCATTATATGTGAATTTATACTGTAAATATTCAGAGGGGGATATAGAATGCAGTATTTCCTAAATTTGTGTTTTAGTCAATGAAGCTCTGTTTTATGAAACACCTGTTTACCTCTTAATGATGCTTGATTTTCATAACACATTGTTTGGCCTAGATAGTGTTTGGCATCTTTTCTTTAAGATTGCATAATTCTACCAGTTTGGAGAAAACCCTTTTTAATTTATAAGATTTGCCGCATTTTGTTTCATGTAGTAGGTATCTATTTTATGATCTCTAATAGCAGAGGATGTACTATATGATTTGTAAGGGTTTTCTCCCTACTACTTCTAACACTCTATATTCTAATGATTAACAAGATAAAAAAATAAAAAGATAATCAAAGTTTAAGTTATCTAAAATCCTTTCAGCACTTAAATCACTAGTTCCTGTACCTCATTTATGACAAGAGATTTGGTTTCATCCAAGGCTTTTCAGCCTTGTTGAATTATGTGGTGATAAATTAGCCATAGATTAGGTTTAAAAGACAGTGTAGGATTACAGAAAGAATTAAAAGACTTTAAGTTGAAGGATGGCTTGAGTTTAGGGCTATCTTTTTGGCTTTTGATAAATTTAACCTCTCTGAACCCATTTCTTCTTCTTAGGTGGCAAATATATATCTATTTGCCACCTATGAAATACTGTATCTACTTATTTACTTTCTTTCAAGATAAAGTACAAGCATGGCTTTTAGAACGAGGCATAAATACTGTTTCATTTAATAGAAAAATATAGCATATACAAGCATACCTTGTTTTATTGCATTCCAGCTTATTGCACTTTGCATATAATTTGTTTTTTTGAGATTGAAAGTTTTAGCAATTCAGCATGGAACAAGTCTGTTGATACTGTTTTTCTAACACCATGTGCTTATTCATCTCTGTCACATTTTGGTAATTATTGCAGTATTTCATACTTTTCCATTATTACATCTTTTATGATGATCTGTGATCAGTTATCTTTGATGTTACTATTATAATTGTTTGGGGGTGCAACAAACCATGCCTACATGACAGTGAACTTAATTGATAAAGGTATGTGCTCACTGCTCCATCAACTGGCTGTTTTCCCATAGCTCTTCTCCTCAGGCATCCTTTTTCCTTAAGACCCAACAGTAATGAAATTAGGTCGATTAATAACCCTAAAATTGCTTCTGATTGTTCAAGTGAAAGGAAGAGTTGCATGTCTCTCACTTTAAATCAAAAGTGAGGAATGATTAAGCTTTTTGAAGAAAGCATGTGAAAAGCTCACATAGGCTGAAATGTAAGCCTCTTGTGCCAGACAGTTAACCAAGTTGTAAATGCAAAGGAAAGTTCTTGAAGGAAATTAAAAATAATACACAAATGATTGAAACAGCCTTACTGCTGATATGGAGAACATTTTAGTGGTATGGATAGAAGATACCAAGTTGTAAATGCAAAGGAAAGTTCTTGAAGGAAATTAAAAATAATACACAAATGATTGAAACAGCCTTACTGCTGATATGGAGAACATTTTAGTGGTATGGATAGAAGATCAACCTAGCTACAACATTCGTGTAAGCTAAAGACTAATCCAGAGCAAGGCATTGACTTTTCACTTCTATGAATACTCAGTGAGGTAAGGGAGCCTCAGAAGAAAAGTTTGAAGATAGCAGAGGTTGTTTCAGTTCATGAGATTTAAAGAAAGAAGCCATCTCCATAACCTAAAAGTGCAAAGGTGAAGCAGCAAGTGCTAATGGAGAAGCTGCAGCAAGTTATCCAGAAAAGCTAGCTAAGATAACTGATGAAAGTAAACAACAGGTTTTTCAGAGTAGACAAATGGTCTTTTATTGGAAGAAGATGCCATCTAGGACTTTTATAGCTAAAAAGAAGTCAATGCCTGGCTTCAAAGCTCCAAAGGACAGGCTGACTGTCTTGTTAGGGGCTAATGCAGCTGGTGATCTAAGTTGAAGCTAATGCTCATTTACCATTCCTAGGTAAATGGGCCCTTTAAGAATTATGCTAAACTGACTCTGCTTGTGTGCTATAGATGGAACAACAAAACCTGAATGACACATCTGTTTACAGCATAATTTATTGAGTATTTTAAGACCATTGTGAAGACCTACTACTCAGTAAAAAAAAACATCTTTTCAAAATATTGTTGCTCATTGACAGTGCACCTGGTCACCCAAGAGTTCTGATGGAGATTTACAAGGAGATTAATGTCATTTTAATACCTTCCAACACATCCATTCTGTAGCCCATGGATCAAGGAGTAATTTTGACTTCCAAGTTTTATTTTTATTTTTATTTATTTTTGGTTTTTTTGAGACAGAGTCTCGCTCTGTTGCCAGGCGCCAGGCTGGAGTGCAGTGGCGCAATCTCGACTCACTGCAACCTCCGCCTCCCAGGTTCAAGCATTTCTCCTGCCTTGGCCTTCTGAGTAGGTGGGACTACAGGAGTACACCACCACGCCCAGCTAATTTTTGTATTTTTAGTAGAGACGGGGTTTCACCGTGTTGGCCAGGATGATCTTGATCTCTTGACCTTGTGATCCGCCCACCTCAGCCTCCTAAAGTGCTGGGATTACAGGCGTGAGCCACTGTGTCCAGCCTTCAAGTTTTATTATGTAAGAAATAAATTCCAGGCCAGGTGCAGTGGCTCACGCCTGTTGTCCCAGCATTTTGGGTGGCCAAGGCAGTGGATCACCTGAGGTCAGGAGTTCAAGATCAGTTTGGCCAACGTGGTGAAACCCCATCTCTACTAAAAATACAAAAATTAACCAAGTGTCATGATGCACACCTGTAATTCCAGCTACTGGGGAGACTGAAGCAGGAGAATCACTTGAACCTGGGAGGCAGAGGTTGCAGTGAGCCAAGATCACATCACTGCACACCAGTGTGGGTGACAGAGCAAGACTCCATCTCAAAAAAAAACAAAAGAAATATATTTCCTTGTAGCTGCCATAGACTGTGATTCTTCTGATGGATCTAGGCAAAGTAAGTTAAAAACCTTCTGGAAAGTGTTCTTCATTCTAGATGCTATCAAGGGCATTTATGATTGATGGAAGAAGGTAAAATATCAGCGTTAAGAAGAGTTTGAAAGGATTTGATTCCAACCCTCCTTGGATGACTTGAAGGAGTTCAAGACTTCAGTGGAGGAAGTAACTACAGATACAACTCAAGTAGCAAGAGAACTAGAAGTGAAACTTAAAGATGTGACTGGTTGGCTGCAATCTCATGATAAAAGTTGAATGGGTGAGGAGTTGCTTCTTACAGATAAGCAAAGAATTTGGTTTCTTGAGATGGAAACTATCCCAGGGAAAGGAAAGATGCTACAAACATTGTTGAAATTTCAACAGTGGATTTAGAATATGGTTGTTCAAGCATTGTCAGGGCTTGAGAGGATTGACTCCGATTTTGAAAGAAGTTCTGTTCTGCATAACATACAATCAAACACCATTGCATGCTACAGAGAAATCATTCATGAAAGGAAGAGTCAATGGATGCAACAGACTTTATTGTTGTCTTATTTTAAGAATGCATGTAATGTGGATGAGAGGGCGATCTGGTTGCGACATCTGTCACCCCATTGATCACCAGGGTTGATTTGGCTGATCTGGCTGGCTAGGCGGGTGTCCCCTTCCTCCCTCACTGCTCCATGTGCATCCCTCCCGAAGCTGCGTGCTTGGTCGAAGAGGACAACCATCCCCGACAGAGGAGGACCGGTCTTCAGTCAAGGGTATACGAGTAGCTGCGCTCCCCTGCTAGAACCTCCAAACAAGCTCTCAAGAATGCATGCAACAAAGTTTATTGCCTTATTTTAACAGATTGCCACAGCCACCCCAGCCTACAGCAACTAGCTCCTTATCAGTCAGTAGCTATCCTACTGAGTCAAAACACTCTTATCAGCAAAAAGATGCCTACTCACTGGAGTTTCAGACGACTGTTAGCATTTTTTAGACCTAAAGTACTTTTTAATTTAATGTAGCTTAAATTACATACATTTTAGACATAACGTAGTTGCATGCTTAATAGACTACAGCGTACTAGGAAACCAAAAAATTTGTGTTACACATTATCAGTGTATTTACTTTATTGTGGTGATCTGGAACCAAATATGCAGTATCTCTGAGGTATACCTGTACCATATTTATAGATTATTTAACTTTAGCCAAGTAGTCTACAAGTAAACTAAAATATTTTATTATCTTCAGAGTAACCCCATGTGGAAAACACTATTTTTGGAGAGAATAGAGGAGTCTCGCTCTGTGGCCCAGGCTGGACTTGAACTTCTGGGCTCAAGAGCTTTCCACCTCAGCCTCCTGAGTTTCTGGGACTATAGGCATGTGCCACTGTGACCTGCTAGAGGGCACTATTATTTCCCCTCATTTAGAGATGAGAAAACTGTCTCAGAAAAATAAAGTAACATAAGGTTCCACTGCTAATAATTAGACAGGCTTGTATTAAACTGAGAGTTTCTTAGACTCCAAAACCCATGCCAATATGCCATAGTATGTTTTACCATATTGTAGTGGGTACTACCGAATTTGGTTAATCTGATATTGGAATAATAACTGTAGGATACCAGAAAGTATCAACTGAAAAACTGAGACATAGATGATTCAGTAAGATCTTAATAGGATAAGCTGGGCTATGCTACAGAAGATAAAGAATATGACAAACAAACCAAATAAACCAACAATAAAATCTCAATGGCTTAACACAACAAAGTTTATTTTCACTAAACTATTTCACTATTTTCAGTGTTAGTCATCAGGGGTGCTTTGCTGATTGTAGTCACGCAGGGAAATAAGCTGATAGAGCTCCATAAAGGTTTCGTCTTACCATGTGTTTCCATGGAGTACAGAAGAAGCAAGAAATGAAGGTGTCTAGTTACCTATTCGGTCTGAATTTCAGCCTGTAAGTAATACATGTCATAAAGTGCCATCAAGTATGAGAAATATGAAAAGTTGACCCCCTGAAAATGTGGTATTGAATCATATAATATAAAAAGGAAACTGTCAGTATATTGGATACTTAATTAGCATCAGCTGGTAGAGGATATGAATATGGTTTAGTAACCATGCTAAGATGCTCATTGTGTGCAGTTCAAATACTGTATTAAAACCTAGTCTACACTACCGCTTAGAATAGTAGTATTTAGCACAGGCCTAGAACATAAGCAGAAATACTCGGGCACAAGTAACTAATAAGGAAGCTTATTTATAAATGCCAAGTGTTTTCTCTTACTCATTGGTAACTGAGCTATTAAACTGTCCATATAAATACTGGACACGTGGCAATCCTAGTGTCAACTTGTGTTTTCCACAGGACTATAGTAAGTTATCATAGGAGGATTGAATTATTTCTGGATTTTTTTTTGTGGAAAATACATAATTCATACAATGGAAAGTGAATGTGATTTTTTTTTTCTGAAGTTTTAACTGGCCTACTTGAATTATTTTTCTTATATCATTCTATATTTTTGCTGCTTCTATTTTTAACACCTCATTAACATTAACTAGAGATGAGAAATGGAAAAGAAGTAAATTAAAATCTATCAAGTTTGCTGCACTACTTAGTAACTGCATTACTTAGTTGCAACTGCATAAGTGTAAGAGATATGAAACTAGTTTTTTCCTAGTCTGGTTTCTTTTCATATAATAGCCAAGATTATAAATTTTTTTTATTTAAAAGTATCTTGTAAAATACCTACTATGTGCTCAATATTAAAGTAAGAAATGCCAGGGCGTTTTCCTTATATATCTCTTTGTACTGTGATTCTTAAGATGTTTTAATTTGGTTAGATTCTTACTCTTACTCTTATTCTTATTTTTTATCTTTTAAACTTTTTTATATTTTTTAATTGTTTTCAGGAGCGGGTAGAAAATTATTCCAATGTAAGCATTCATTTGAAGAATCCTGAAAACTGTTCCTGCCAGGCTTGTGGACTGCATCGCTGCTGTAGATATTCAGTGCATTTATCAGGAAAGTTGTATAACACCAGGACCATGGAAATAGATGATTTTATGTCACATGATAAACAGGTATTTTCTTCCCTCTAATTTTAATTTTCAGTATTTAGAAATTTTTAGTTTACAAATGTCCACAAGTAACCCTAAGTGTCCTAAGGAGAATTTGACCCAAGTAGAAACATTTTTGGCATATAATTCACCAAATTGGCAACCCACAAGTAAATAATATAAGATAGCTATTCATCTAATATGAGAGAATTAAAAAAACTAGCCTCTAATGCTTCAACTAGCCTCTTTTAGAAGTATGTCAGAGTCTAGAGCAATCACCACATACTTAAGATGCTATTAATTTTGTATGAATAGAAAAAACTGAAGAGTAAGTATTTTTTTAGACAAGAACATAGCAGTATAATGTGAAATGATAAAAAGTGCAGATGCTGACAACTTCTATTTATTTTTTCAATATTTGTAAGATTGCTGCATTTACAAATGCAAAAATTACATTTATAAATGCAAAAAATATTAAGAGCTTTTTCTGGTGACTTTGGAGAAGGTGTATGTTTAGAGAGGAAGAGACCCAAAGTTGTCTCTGAATCCTCCCAGTCAGTTATTAAGATGGAAATTTGATATTTATCTGAATTCTTCTATTAAACTGGGTAGTATGATTTCTCAGTACTATTGAGCAGTAAGTGACCAGATTCCTCTGAGAGATCTGGGTTGCAAGAATTACTTAGAAAGTTTTTATGGGGATAATGAATTCAGAATTGGTCTGTAATGTTTTATTTGATATGTTACTATACAAATATGAATACATATATATATATTTAAGTCATATGTAAATTTCTCCATTGTTTAAAAACTGATCTATGACTTTTTATGAGCTAAGATATCTGGAATCCTAGCAAAAGTGATTTAAAATATATTTGGGACCATTTTCTGTTATGTAGATTAAATACATTGCTTTATTCATGGTCTTTGCTGTCTATAGCTAATCCTGAAGAGGACAGTAGAGTAAGAAAATCACCTGTAGAGCCCTTGACATTCCTGTGAATATTCTATATAAAATAGTATTCAAATATTTAAAAATCAAAGAATAAACTGAAAGCATGAACTAAAAGCAAATAACATTAATGTTACTAGTCACATAAAACTATAAAAGTTAACAAATATATGGGAAAATACTTATTCTGCCTGTAAAGGTATACAACTAAAACTACTCTATGATGCCAGTTGATAACTCCGAAAGTAGCAAAGTATTTTCAAATCAAATGGTAAAATGCGATGCTATCAAGGTTGCATTGAAACTAGTAAGTTCATGGAAAGTAAGACTCCTAGAGGAGGCTGGGCGTGCTGACTCATTCCTGTAATCCCAGCACTTTGGGAGGTGGAAGCAGTCGGATTACATGAGGTCTGGAGTTCGAGGTCAGCCTAACCCACGTGGAGAAACCCCGTCTCTACAAAAAATTAGCCAGGTGTGATGACACTTGCCTGTAAGCCCACCTACTTGGGAGGCTGAGGTAGAAGAATTGCTTGAACCCAGGAGGCAGAGGTTGCAGTGAGCTAAGATTGCACCATTGCACTCCAGCCTGGGCAGCAAGAGTGAAACTCCATCTCAAAAAAAAAAAAAAAAAAGAAAGAAAAACAACAAAAAAAATACTCCTAGAGGAAAAAGGAGGTGATATATATCTTTTAAAAATACTAAGTTTTTAGAGCTAAAATCACAAAGCTATATATTATTTAATGTCTATAAGTTTATCTTTTGCAAAGCAGTTCAGTAAAAAGCAAATGATATAATCATGAAGTTGATTGAAACATTATTTACAATACAAAAAATGGAAATAATCCAAATAAAAATTAGTGATTTAATAGCCTATGGTATAGCAGCATTATGTGGCAGAATTTTTATAATACAACCGTTAAAATAATATTATGAAAGTTAGGAAATAATGCTAGGTTGAAAGTATAATAATAATTACTGTTTGCACTATCTTTACATCTATATAAAATGTGTGTATGCATATGTAACCATATGTAAACATTAAGTTAGTTATTGTTTATGTTAAGGATGTGATTGAAATTTTTAAATATAAAATTGTTTTTTACTAACTTTTTCTTTAAAGTAAAGAATAACTTATTAAAATTTATTTTATATCCTACTTCAGTACAATGTAAATGCATATATGTAAAGAGGAAAAAACCAGGAGAGAAAATAAACTAGTTGTAATCCAGAGCATTAAAGAGACTGTGCCTAACCCTACACCCATCTTCAAGTTACTTTGAAAACTATTTATTTTGTGTTGCTGCTTGTAGTTATGTAAAATTGAGATTCTTTAAGATTAACTAAGGTTCTTTTTGAGGGTATAAATAATACTTTTAAGGAATTCACTTAACAGCAAATTGGTTTCATATGAAAACTTTTCTCCTTACTTGAGATTAGCTTATTTGAAAGAAAAGTTGCCTTGATGGAAAGTGGAATTATTGGGGGAAGGGTAATTTGGTTACAACAGTATTGACAGGGTACTAAGACGAGAGTGCTAGGACCATCTGAATGTGATAAAGTTAGGGACATAGATCAGAAGGAAAATACCTGGATGAAAGAGAATTGTGAAATCTGAAAGACAGTTTGGGAAAACTAAAAACATTCTTGGATTTATGTTTAGTTTTGCCTAGAGTCTATCCTTAAGATGCTTAGGATCTGGTGGAAAGAAGCAATTAATTTTGAGGCAAATGGCATTGTATAATATGTCCATGCAAAAAAAAAACAAACAAAAAATCAAACCAAAAGGAAATAGAATCCTTTGGATTGGTATTGTACTATCTTTCTGAAGACCCAGAAACAGAAAACAAACCTTTCCCCAGAAAACCTTACTTACTGTTTTCTTGAGAATCTTCTTCTTCATTCTTCATACTTTAACTTCCATAAGGAACAGGCTCCTCTGCATATAAATAAGAGCATAGAGAAATACTTTAAAAAGCTACCTACACTGTAATCCCAGCACTTTGGGAGGCCGAGGTGGGTGGATCACGAGGTCAAGAGATCGAGACCATCCTGGTCAACATGGTGAAACCCCGTCTCTACTAAAAAATACAAAAAATTAGCTGCACATGGTGGCGTGTGCCTGTAATCCCAGCTACTCAGGAGGCTGAGGCAGGAGAATTGCCTGAACCCAGGAGGTGGAGGTTGCAGTGAGCTGAGATCGTGTCATTGCACTCCAGCCTGGGTAACAAGAGCGAAACTCTGTCTCAAAAAAAAAAAGCTACCTACAGTAGGCTGGATATTACAAAGTCTGCACAGTGCATGTTTCATTATATTTCCTTGCCTCAGTTTGTTATCCACATTTAATTTACACTCCACATGATAGAACTAATAAATTAGAAATCAGATTCTTTCTGCTGCTTTCTTCTGCTTTAGGAAAATTCAGTGATAGATTTTTAGCTCCATCTCCAGTCTTTAAATATGTACTACTGGTTATTTCATACTGATAACTGAACTGACTCAGTCTCATATTTATCATTTCATAGAACTGTGCTTAACCTTGCATAGTCATCATTTATATGTCGTCTTGCTTATCTGCTTTGTGAACACTCACCACTGCACTTATTTTTCTATCTATGGTATTTTTATACTAATTTTCTTGTTAGAGTAATTTCCTTAATGTACAGAAATGGAACTAGGTAATTAGAGTTGTTTCTAAATATATTTTTCTGGACATTTAAGGAAATCATTCTAACACCTTAGATTGTTACCTGTTTTAGTACTTTATACAAATTGATTCCTACAGTGTAAGCTGTGTTGTACTGTATACTTCAATTTATATAGTAAAGAAATACAGTGGGCTGTAACAATACACTGAAAACAGGCATAGGGTGAGGGTAAGTTCACTTGGAGAAATATTACAGCTATCATATGCATCTACTGTTTTCTGTGAAACTTTACAATAGTGGTACCCTTCTGTATAGGCTCTTACATATAAAATGTGATCAAGTTTTGGGAGTAAATAATATAATAATATTTTAAGGTAATTTTGGATTTATATATCTATATGATGATAAGTAGATACCAAGAAGGTAGGAATTAGAAATGGAAAGAAGTAAACCTTAACGTTAAATATTTTCAAAGGATATTTTTTTTTCATACAGGAAAAAAAAAATGAGACTTTTAAACACCTCTCCTTTCCTCTTGTTTCAACTTAAAAATGCTATGCAGTTAAATTCCTCTTGTTTTGTGGAAATACAGAATAAATGTGATAGAAATACAAGTCATTTTATCCTATGCCTCTACTTCATCTAGAACAGCTGTAGCTGAGTTCTCCCACGCAATCTACTTTGATGGCAGAAATGGAGACGAACAGGCTACCCATAAAGTCACAGCAACTTTTGTGTTGTCTTTTTACACAAAGTTGGAGGTATTAGCAAGTGAATTGCTGAAATGTCATTTACTACCAGGACTGCTTTGATGATGAGGTTGAATTGGAAAACTTACTTTTAATAAGCAAGCCATGTACAATAACACCTGTTTACTTCTATGATCCACAAAGCAGGAAGGTTTCTACAGAGCCGCGAATATAAATCTAAACATGCTTTTCTTAAACTTTTGAAGATTTGAAGAAGGATTGTAAAATGTCCAAGATACAATTTTCACAGGGGAAAAAAAAAAACGTCAAGCCTGACTATTGCTAATTTGTGATATAACTTCTGCTCATTTTTGGAAACATACTCCTGGTTTGTCTTTCATCACTTGTATGTTTCCTTGCAGTGTGGATTCAGGAAACAGGTGTATTTTTCTGTCAGACAGAACACAAGTTACATAGATAAACATGAAAACTATAACACTTGTACTCATGAAAGCGTAACCCATTAGTGCACTTAGTTAGGTATAAACACAAATACATAAGTCATCAAGAAGTTTACTGTTTCCTTAGGTTACTCCATGAGAATAAAATTGACCATATCATAATGTTTGGAGCCCTTTCTGATGCATTTTCTACAGTGGGTAAAATAATTTAGGTAAAAATTTATTTAATTTGGTCAGTGCATTGAGACTGTCTTCCTACTTTAGCTGTAGGTTTATATAACAAACTTTAAAAATTCGAAACATTCTCAAAGAGAAAGGTTCTGGTTGTTTGATTTCATAAAAAGAGTGTTCTTAATCATAGAATTATACAAGTCCATATAAACATAGAAATTAAAAGGCTTACAGCTGGCTAACAGCAAAATATTGATGTCTTATTCACATACACCACCTTAAAGCAACCAGTACACCTAAATACAAAGTTATTTTTTTAATTTATGTCTTTTTTGGTGGGGGGGGGGAAGAAAAGTATCTAGTAAAAAACTGCCAATACTTAATTTTGGTTTAAGAGTTTGTTTCAGTTTTACATGTTGGGTATAGCTACAAAATTATTATAATCCAGGCATTTTTAACTCATAAATAAGACTTAAAATATTTTCCATGTTTTTTCTTACCTTGCCCATCTTCTGCCTCACATTAAAGCCATTTCTCTCTTTTCCCAAACTTGGCAAACTCTTGTGTTTTCAAGACTTAGTTGAAGCTTTATCAGCCTAGTGACTTTTCTCCTCTCTGGATTGAGCTAAGTGCCCTTCCTCACTAGCATTTTGATAGCATCTTGGACATAGCAGTTTTCACATTGTTTTATAACCATTTGTCTTTCTCTCAGAACTGTAGCTCCCTAATACAGGTAATACATCTTTTATTTATGTATCTCTAGTGTCTTGCCCAATATTTGAAATGTCACAGATGCTCAGTGTTTGACTAGTTGTGTAAATAAGAGAAGGTAAAGGGATCATTTAAAGATAATAATGCATTTCGATTCTACTACTTAAGAAAATCTGAAAACCAGAAAGGAAATATATTCCTTACCATATTATTCACTTCATATGTCAGATAATAATCTTTATTTCTCGATTTAGGTGTTCACGGTTGGCAGAATTTGTGCTGATCGTACCAGAATTTATCATAAACTGAAACATTTTAAATTCAAACTGTACCAGGAATGTTGCTCCATTGCAAAGACAGAAGAAGTTGAAGATGAACAGGTTAAAGAAACAGTGGAAAGAATTTTCAGTCAATCAAAAGAAAGTGGCTGGATTAAGGAGGTAAAGTGAATATGTGAGAATTTCATCATGTCGATTCTGGAGCCTAATTGTGATTAGCAAAAGGAGACAAATGATTAGAAGATAGTGAAATTTAAAAGAATCTCTTTCTTCTCTCCTTTGTATTTTCCCTTCTTCCACTCATTCCTTTCATCCTTACCATTGTCCTTCTGAATAGATGCCCTGATGTTCTAAGGATTCACTCAGCCCATCAGATAAATTTTAATAAGCATTAATATTTTACTGAAGGACCTCTGTCCTTTCGCTTTTGTTTATGTATTGCTTACATATATATTAAGTCCCCTGATTTTTTTTTTGACAGAGTATAGGACTCACCTCTGCTTGTCTGCTTCCTATTCTTTAGAACAGTTCTTGTGACCTGAGAGTGAAGAAGCACCTGGTGCCAGTCTGAGGAAAGGATCTCGGCTGCCAGTTCTAATACCACCCACATCCTCTTCTTGAGGACATGGGACTGAGCAGTGAGCACTATAACTGAAGATCGAGGGGAATGCAGAGGTTTCAGGCCACGGCACTGATTTTGACTCCCCCATATCCTATTGATCACTAAATTTGATATCAGGAGTAAAGTGGGGGCTTTGAAGAGTGCACTGGATTCCTGAAGATCTGCTGGCAGCTCATAAGCTCTGGTCTGCTCACAGAGCTTTTAAAATTGTTTATGGTATATGGAAATAATGCTAATATGACTGCAGTCTTCTAAAACCAGTCTAGTTACATGAATGTATAAGAGAGAACAAATCGTAGATTTTCAGGCAACTCATATCAACATCTAATCTTCAAAAGAAAAAAAAAAAAGCCTGACCTGAGATCCATTGCCTGGGTTATATCATAGGGACATTTGTAAAAGAGGAATATAAAAAATAAGGCAAGAAAGCTTAGAAAACAAACTTATCGGCAGAGGGAAAGAAAAGAGAATAGGAAAGTTTTTAGGACATGTCATGTTTGGTGGAGGTCTCCCAGTCTAGAGAACTACATCATTATTGATTTCCCTTTGACAATTATCCTCCCACCACAAACCACCACCCAGTGATCTTACCTGCCTCCCACATCTTGATCCTTACATCTTCTTTCTCTCACTTTATTCTTTTCAGCTTTTTGCCTTTTACTTTGCTTCTATTTATCCTACTCCAAATGCTTCTCCCCGCTTACCCATACTCTTTCATTTGCCTTAGGAGAGAGCCATCACTTATTGAGTTACTTCCCGTCTTCATTTTCCTAGACAACATTAAATTCTTAAGTGCTTTTATTGATGCCTTTAAGTGTTGCCAAGTCTGTAGTGGAATTGCAAAACCTATTGGGGTAGCACAGTTATAAAGAATTGGATACTATGCATAGAAAAATCACTGTGCATATACTGTGTATGTTATATAATAGTATCATATACAGGGAAGAACACGGAACTTCTTGCAGAAAAAAAGCGTTTTCAAATCCTGTGTCCCAGAGAAAGCTTAACAAGGTTTAGGACACCAGAAGGGACCTGGAATTTTTTAAAAACATATTCTGTCGGGCACGGTGGCTCAAGCCTGTAATCCCAGCACTTTGGGAGGCCGAGGCGGGTGGATCACAAGGTCGAGAGATCGAGACCATCCTGGTCAACATGGTGAAACCCCGTCTCTACTAAAGATACAAAAAATTAGCTGGGCATGGTGGCACGTGCCTGTAATCCCAGCTACTCAGGAGGCTGAGGCAGGAGAATTGCTTGAACCCAGGAGGCGGAGGTTGCGGTGAGCTGAGATCGCGCCATTGCACTCCAGCCTGGGTAACAAGAGCGAAACTCCATCTCAAAAAAAAAAAAAAAAAAAAAATTCTTTTTTGCATAATATAACACCTTGCTCTCTTAGGAAAAGAAAGGAGCTTAGCCTTTCTTTTCAAGAAAGCTAAGTGTCCTATTATGCATAAAGAATAACGTTTAACATTAGGCATTGAAGGTATTTCAAGATTGTGCGTGTCTAGCACAATATGCACATTTTTTCCACATAAAAATACCAAAGATCTTCCTTTTTTTTTTTAGATTCCTCCACTTAAAAAATTTGTTTGTAGGTTTTCTCAAAAGATTTCCTAGAAACCACAGAAGTTTATAGCCAATATAAACCCATCTGAAGCTTTTTGTGCTATGAAGAAATTTCAAAATTTGTCAAGTGCTCTGATGTTTCTCATCCTCACTCTGTCTATCGCTGTCACTGTGTGCCTTTGGGTGATGGCACTGTGTGTGCTTTGCGATGCATGCCGCCTTTGGCTACAGTCTGGTAGAGTTACTCTAACCTTTTAGAATGCCTGGGGCACAGGGTTACCTGAATGCCATCTCCACAGCACTTTCTGCTCATATTTTTCAATTATGCCAACCCCTTTTTTTACCTTAGACATACTGTTTGCTTCTGTCTTTCTGCCTCCAGCTTGTATTCCACACCTTACTTTTTCCCTTACGTGCTTCTTCAGCCATTTTACTTTCATTACCTCAGGATGTCTCAGCCAGCATGTCTTCCCAAAGACATGCCAGCTAGACTGACTTCATTCTTCTTGTTCTTCCTTCTAAAGGTTGAACTAGGGTGATCCATTTTTAATATAATAATACTAAAGGGGTGTAGGAGCAACTTGAGTATAAGAAAAGAACAAATAGGAAAATTTTAATAAAACCAAAATACATAATAAACATAATAATGCATGTCTTATTCTGAAGAAGAGTTCAATAACATACTCTGATATGACACTGGCAAAATTCTAACGAATACTTGTTCATTAAGAAGAAAGTGTGGCCAGGCACGGTGGCTCACGCCTATAATCCCAGCACTTTGGGAGGCCAAGACGGGTGGATCACGAGGTCAAGAGATTGAGACCATCCTGGTCAGCATGGCGAAACCCCATTTCTACTAAAAATACAAAAATTAGCTGGGCATGGTGGTGCACGCCTGTAGTCCCAGCTTCTCGGGAGATTGAGGCAGGAGAATTGCTTGAACCCAGGAGATGGAGGTTGCGGTGAGCCGAGATCATGCCATTGCACTCCAGCCTGGGTAACAAGAGCAAAATTCTTTCTCAAAAAAAAAAAAAGAAGAAGAAGAAGAAAGTGTATATGATAATGGGATTTCCTGAGAAGTTGAAGATAGGATTATTGGGATTGGCTGGTGGATGCATGACATCAGGTAGTGAAGAAAGCATGTCAATAGAAGTATCAAGTGCCATTTTATTCTGTAAATACTGTATGTAAAACTGTTACGAGTGACAGTTGTATGTAAATTTTAAATGTATTAAAGAATAGTTATATGAACAATAATTTAAAATTATAATTAGATATCCCTTGGCTTCCTTAAACACTTCTGATTTCTTTTCTTTCCCTTCCTTTTCAACTTTTTCTCTTTCTCTTTTTTCCCACCCATAAACTGATGCTTCTCGAAACATGGCCCTCAACTATGTCAGAATCACCTATAAGTTTTTGAAAAATGTACAATCCCCTAGCGTCATCCCAGATTTATTGAATGACAATCCTTATGGATGTTAAACATCAAATATTTTTAGCACTGGTGATTCTTAAGTAGATAAAAGTTTGAGGATTGCTGCTAAAAAGTACCTGTTAACACTGAATTCTGTCTTCATCCTTTCAGTTTCCTTTGCAAATCATTTCCCTTCTGCAGTTCTAGCTGCTACTTCTGAGTAGACGATTCTAAACTTCTCTTATATTCTGACCTCTTTCCCACACTTCATTTCCACAATTCTAACTGTTTTCATTAGTAAGTCCATCAGGCATTGTAAGACAGTAGACTTCACTATTAAAATAAGACCCAAACCCTCCAAATTTTTCGTAAAGAATTATGAGAGCAGCATCTTTACGGGGAGAGGATAGCAGAGTAATACTGACTGCAATGTTGTGAGTTTCACTTTCCTTTTCAAGATTTTTATTTTTTTTTATTGCCAAAGCTGCATCCCAACCACACCATTTAAATCTCAGAAACAGCATACTCATACAGGTTAAAAATATAGGCTTAAGTATTTGCTTTGCCTCTTACTAGCAGTAGAATTTGGGAGCAAGCTATTTTATTTCTCTAAGCCTAAGTTTTCTCATCTATAAAGTAGCAACTAAAATAGTAATAATGACAAAGATTTTGATTGTGGAGTTTAAATGCGTAACATGTTTTAAGCATTTCCTGTATTTCCTAGCTATTAGTAAGTAATCGATTAATCTTAACTATTAGTTGCAGTGAAAGCAAAGAGAGGTTCTCCTTCCTTCTATCTTAGTATAGCTGAGATAATTTTAATTGTCCTAGGTGGGTGTGGTGGTACACAGCTATAGTCCCAGTTATTTGGGAGGCTGAGGTGGTAGAATCACTTGAGTCTAGGAGTTCAAGGCCAGCCTGAGCAAGATAGTGAGACCCTGTCTCTTAAAATTTTTTTTTAATTCTTAATTTTCAAATAGAAATTTAATAAATAATAAAGAGAATATGAAGAAAGATAATATGAAAAGCATTAAAACATTCAAACTTTTAAATTATAGGTTTCTAATCCTAGAGTACTTTACTTGTATCTAATAAAACCTATCTAAGTACTAGGCCAAAGAAAATTCCTAAGTAGTCCCTAGGATATTTCCCCTTCTGTTATGTTCTTCTGTGTTTCCTGAAAAGGAGAGCCAGTCAGATATCACAGGATTATAAAAAAGAGTTTCATGGCCTTCAAGGTCTAGAAGGAAAATGTACTTCTCACATTCCCTTCTGTAGGTCCCTGTCACCAGAAAAGTCAGGGTCTCTGGGATCCTCTCTCATTTCACTGAGGATAGAAACAGAGTCAAGAAACCACTATGTCATTAATCCCCTCACCGAAGTAAATACTTTAACTCTGTATGTCTGAAACTGAAATCGTGTATCTCTTTCCCTCCCACAAACAGCCTGCAAAATAACCCTGCCATTATTCTACTCTGTCAACTTTGAAATCTCTAAATCATTCTTGACTCCTCTCTTAACTTGTTCCACCTTGTTCTTTAGTCTTCATCTTCATTGCTATCACTCAAATTTGGATCCTCATGACCTAAATTGTTATCATAGACTCATAACTAGTTGCTGAACTATTCTAGAATGAATACTTTACCGATTTTCTTAAAATACACCTTAGATCAGTTCAGTCTCCTGCTCCAAAACCTTTAGCAATTTTCCATTACCTGTCAAATGATTGTTCAACTCTTTAGCCAGTATTTTATAATTTGTATTCTCTGACCTCAGTCTCTTTGGCTCAGTCTTTTTCTCTCTCTGTTCTCTTAAAAATACCCAGGTTGTAGTCAAGTCCCATATTTTTTTGTCATGTCACTGTTTGGTGGTCTATTGTCTTTTACTGAAAACTCTCGCCACCATCTCTTTGCCTACCAAATCTGTTTTCCCAGGACAACTTAAATGCCACTCTTTTGCTGGTTACCTCAACTAACCATGACCTCTCTTCTGAACCTCATGACAGTGTCTGCACCTCTTTTGGCACTTATTACTGATTATTATTGGTATATTACTACTGAACTCTATTCTCCTTAGGGGCAGGGAAAGTATCTTTAAAACTTTGTACATAGATAGTCATAGCAGAGACTTTGATATATATGTTCAACAAACTTTTTATTAAGTCATTGAAGTTACTACATTTCTACTCTAAATATGATAATAGAAAAATTTTGTAATTTACAACACAGTTAGGAAATTAATAATGTTATTCACTTTGATCTCTTTCCAGTGCTTTTTATGAGTTGGAAATGCTTATTTGAAATTAAGTTTCTGTTTATCATAAAAAGATTTTTGTTCACGATTACCATGAAATGAACTTATCCTAATTGTGTTTGTAGTTTGCAAAGGCCCAGTTTATCTTCATTGCTTTGAGTAAAATAACTAGCTTTTCTATTGTACATGCAGAAATATGGTCAACTTGAAGAATATCTCAATTTTGCGGATTACTTTCAAGAAGAGAAGTTTGACTGAATTGTAACACGTTTCCATCAGAGAAGATTTTTTAAATGCTTGTAAATGTGAAGATCATGATTCTTGTTTTTCTGTATCATGTGACATATTTATACATTTTATATATATATATCCATGGCAAAATATTTTGTTTAAAACATGGTTATCTTTATTCCTGTGAAATGGCACTCTGTAGTCTGATTGAACTTTTATGTGATGTACATAAAACATTATCTTAATAATTTTTAAGTCTGTAAATGTATTTTAAAGTTATATAATAATGGCTTTATAACAGATGACTGTCAACTGAATGAGCTGTCCATGTCCTGCCAGTTTAGTCAAAATATATTGTATTTTAAAAATATATTTAGACTAACGTCTACATGTATTTTTGCTGAATTCCTGTCCAGACCTGTTTATTATCCTTTTACAGTATTAAGTGATTTTCACTAACATATTTTTTACTGCTATCATCAAATCAGTGGGCCATGGAAGAAACCTCAATATATCATTCAGTTCAATCCCCTGGCTTCAGAAACTTGTTGCATATCCATTCTAAGTAGAAGAATGATTTTTTCCTTTTCTAGAAAGTTTCTGTTTCAAATATGTTTCCAGTCTCCAGGGAGTCTTTCAACCTTTACATTCAGGAACAATTTTATGTAAATTTTCATGCTTTATAATGTTGATGCTTTTTTTCTATTCAATTTTGTCTGTATGTTAATGATTAAGATGTTTTTTATTTGTTTTTAGCCATAGTTTTTTCCATGTAAGTATATATGTTAGGGTCAGAACTGCTGAGAGATAAATTCAGCCAAAAACACTTGGAAAGCATATTTTAGTATCTGCATTGCTTTGCACATCTGAATTTTGCCAAAAAGTAATAAAGTAAAGTAGTTGCTGAGTGAACAAATGAACCCTGTCTATTCTATATTTTTAATTCTTAAAAGTGTTGTTGTAGTAGGATCTGTTCTACTATGGAACTTCTTTTTCTTAATGGAAGTGTTGGTTGAAGTTGGATTCATCTATCACATGACTCATGGCATGGACTGCTGTGTACATATCTATAAAAAGCTACATTAAGCCCATATATAGAAATTAGTTAATATTTTCTACAATTCATTTCCTGAAATTATCCATATTATTATTGTAAATAAATGTGGTAGAAAAAAATCACAATGTGGCGACAGTATTGATGCTGATGTTTAATGTTTAATGAGGAGTACATACCTTTTTCAAACGTTATGAAATGAAAATTTCACATAATCTGTATTCTTTTTTTTTTTTTAGTTGGAGGTTCGCTCTTGTCACCCAGGCTGGAGTGCCATGGTATGATCTGGACTCGCTGCAACCTCCGCCTCTGGGGTTCAAGTGATTCTCCCACCTCAGATTCCTGAGTAGCTGGGATTACAGGCATGTGCCACCACACCTGGCTAATTTTGTATTTCTTAGTAGAGACGGGGTTTCACCATGTTGGCCAGGCTGGTCTCAAACTCCTGACCTCAGGTGATTCACTCATCTCGGCTTCCCAAAGTGCTAGAATTACTGGTGTTCGCCACCCTACCCAGCCTATATATCTGTATTCTTACTCATATTTCCCTGGCACATGGCAATATAATGCTTAACTAAATTCTAGGGAATAAAAATAAAACCATGATTGAAAGGTGAAGATGAAGGCACAGCATCCGCAAAGAAACAAGGCAGAGTTAGAAGTGATAATCACGGAGGAATAGTAAAGGATCACAAATGATTCATAAAAAGGAAGGCTGGAGGAAATGAGAAATAATGATCTCTAAAGTATCTCCGAGGACCTAGAGGCGTCACTTCTCATGTGGGATATTACAGACAAGTTTGAGATGGCTAAAGAGTAAATCTTAGAATGTTACCTATTACTTTTAATAGCATGAAGTTAATTTGTAAATTAAGGCACTAATAATTCCAAGGACTTATGTGGATCAGGCATCTTGTTGACTTGGAGCACCTTTCCTATTGGAACAGCTGACTGTTGATCATAAAATGCTTATAGGTAGTTTTTCTGATGTCTAAGGTCATTGCAACCAAGCATGCTACTTCAATAGGAATTTGGAGAATACAAGAGGCTCTTAGGTCACGGTAACATCAAAAGAATGGCAAAAAGGCTGTTAGGGAGTAAGAATTAACATGGATTAGGGGGCCAAAAGCAAGTAGTTAATAAGAAAATGGAAATGTTAAAAAAATAGAATTAACCTTTACAGGTATTGTATTATTTTATCATCTTCATCAATATCGTTGATTCAATAACAACACAAAAACAGTTTTTAAGCTCATGTATTTCACGTATCATTTTACATGACTATAAATATTTTTTATATTTGGCCATTTATTACTATAGTGTTAGGTGCTTTAGTGTTAGCTGTCGATAGACATGATGAGGAAGACAGAAATGGACAAGTAAAAGGGAAGTAATTCTAGAAAGAAATCACAGTGCTATTCAGAATTGTTAGGGTTATGAGGAGGGAACAAAACCATGAAACAGGAAAAACAAGGGGGAAAAAATGTTTATTGTATAGGCAGTTGGATGCAATTGACCATATTTCCTGACTTGTCTGTACATATTCAGATGAGTAGATCTATGGTAGTATTCATTCCTAGGATTTATTTTAGGGCCTACTTAGACTCCAGAGTGTCCACTGAGGGACAGTTGCATCCTCTGAGATAGTTTGGCTCCCCTATAACTCCTTTCATATTTGCTATTGCAGCAGCCAGACTAGTGATTAAGGTGGAAGTCAATCTTTTTTTTTTTTTCTTCAACTTTTATTTTATGTTCCAGGGTATATGTGTAGGATGTGTAGGTTTGTTACATAGCTAAATGTGTGCCCTAGTGGGTTGCTACACAGATCATCCCATCACCTAGGTTTAAAGCCCAGCATCCATTAGCTATTCTTCCTAATGCTCTCCCTCCCACCACCCAACCACCAGCAGGCTCCAGTGTGTGTTGTTCCCCACCATGTGTCTATTTGTTTTCATCATTCAGCTCCCACTTATAAGTGAGATTATGCAATGTTTGGTTTTTGGTTTCTGCGTTAGTTTGCTGAGGATAATGGCTTCCAACTCCATCCACGTGCCTGTAAAGGCCATGATCTCATTTCTTTGTATGGCTGCATAGTATTCCATGGTGTATATGTACCACATTATCTTTATCCAGTTTATTATTGATGGGCATTTAGGTTGATTCCATGTCTTTGCTATTGTGAATAGCGCTGCAGTGAACATATGTGTGCACATATCTTTATAATAGAATGATTTATATTCCTTTGAGTATATACCCAGTAATGGGATTGCTGGATCAAATGGTATTTCTGCCTCTAGGACTTTGAGGAATCATTACACTGTCTTCCGCAATGATTGAATTAATTTATACTCTCACAAACAGTATAAAAGCATTCCTTTTTTTTTTTTTTTTCTTTTGACTTAATAGCCATTCTGACTGACATGAGATGGTATCTCATTGTGGTTTGGATTTGCATTTCTCTCATGATCCGTGATGTCGAGCTTTTTCCTATGCTTCTTGGCTGCATAAATGCCTTATTTTGAGGAATGTCTGTTCTTGTCATTTGCTCACTTTTTAATGGGGTTCTTTTGTAAATTTATTTAAGTTCCTCGTAGACTCTGGCTATTAGACCTTTGTTACATAGATAGATTGCAAAAATTTTCTTCCATTCTCTAGGTTGTCTGCTTACTCTGATGACAGTTTCTTTTGCTGTGCAGAAGCTCTTTAGTTAATTAGATCCCATTTGTCAATTTTTGCTTTTTGTTGCAATTGCTTTTAGTGTTTTTGTCATGAAATCTTTGCCCATGCCTATGTCCTGAATGATATTGCCTAGATTTTCTTCTAGGTTTTTTATAGTTTGGGGTTTTACATTTAAGTCTTTAATCCATCATGAGCTCACCACTGCCATTCAACATAGTATTGGAAGTTCTGGCCAGGGCAATCAGGCAAGAGAAAGAAATAAAGAGTATTCAACTAGGAAGAGAAGAAGTCAAGTTATCTTTGTTTGAAAATGACATGATGCTGTGTCTAGAAAACCCCATTGTCTGAGCCCAAAAGCTTCTTAAGCTGATAAGCAACTTAAGCAAAGTCTCAGAATACAAAATCAGTGTGCAAAGATTGCTAGCATTCCTATACACCAAATATAGGCAAGGCAAGCAGCCAGCCAAATAATGAATGGACTCCCATTCACAATTGCTACAAAAAGAATCAAATACCTTGGAATATACCTAACGGGAAGTGAAGGACCTTTTCAAGAAGAACTAAAAACTACTGCTCAAAGAAATCAGAGAGGACACAAATGGAATCCATGCTCATGGATAAGAAGAATTAATATTGTGAAAATGGCCATACTGCCTAAAGTAATTTATAGATTCAATGCTATTCCCACTAAACTACCATTGACATTCTTTACAGAATTAGAAGAAAACCCATTTTAAAATTCACATAGAACCAAAAAAGAGCCTGAATGGCCAAAACAATCCTAAGCAAAAAGAACAAGGCTGGAGGCATCGTGCTACCCAACTTCAAACTATACTACAAGGCTACCATAACCAAAACAGCATGATACTGGTACAAGAACAGACACATAGACCAATAGAACAGAATAGAGAACTTAGAAATACGACCACACACCTACAGGCATCTGATCTTCAAAAAACTTGACAAATACACCCAAGTGAGGAAGAGTTCCCTACTAAATAAATTACGTTGGGCAAACTGGCTAGCTATATGCAGAAAATTGAAACTGGACCCGTTCCTTACCCCATGAAGTCAGTCTTGAATTAGAGTTCTGGTCTGTTACTTCCTAGTTATATGAACTAGAACAAGTACTTTAGTTTTCATGAGCCTTTGTTTTTCTCACTTATAAGTGGGATTATAGTATCTCTCAGGATTGCTTGTGGATTAAGAGGAATAATATTTGAGAAGTGCTGTGCCTATAACAGTAATTTTTTAATTGCAACTGATGAGAACAGAAATGAAGATGTTGAAAATAATGAGGTCAACCTGAAATTAAATGTCTATTTAAGGGTAAATGTGTACCAAAAAAATGACACCGCAAAGAAGTATTCTACACCAGTGGAATATAGTATAAATATTAAATTTCTGCTTCACATTTTTTTTTTTTTTGAGATGGAGTCTTACTCTGTTGTCCAGGCTGGAGTGCAATGGTGCCATCTAGGCTCATTGCAACCTCTGCCTCCTGGGTTCAAGCTATTCTCCTACGTCAGCACTGCCCCCCACCCTCCCGCATAGCTGGGTTTACAGGCATGTGCCACCACATCCGGCTAATTTTGTATTTTTAGTAGAGACAGGGTTTCCCCATGTTGGTCAGGCTGATCTTGAACTCCCAACCTCAGGTGATCCATCTGCCTCTGCCTCCCAAAGTGCTGAGATTACAGGCATAAGCCACTGTGCCCAGTCCATAATTTCTTAAGATATGTCCATGTCTAGCAGAGTAGTTCAAGTTTACATCCTTTAGGAATAGCTGATTTGACAAAGGACTGCATGTTATTAATCAAATCCTATGTTCCTGAAGGGCTATAGAGCGAATAAAATGGTTTCAGTTTAAATATTACATGTTTCTTTTATGCTGAGTGTAAAATATCCATAATAGTAGAAAGCAGATACTGTCTGATGCAGACAACATTTTAAAACTAAACTTTTACAAATAAAATGTTTAAAACTCTCCTCTTTAACGACACCTCATGACAGTTATCCATTTAAATTCTGCTTTTCTAACAAATATATATTTCTGCTTTTCTCATGAGTAATGAGGAACTTAGGCTTGGAAGGAACAGACAGAGGTATGTTCCAATGGAAAGTTTAAAAGTTATATTGCATCTGAGTTTATTTGTCCCCATTTCCAAGCTAACAGGATTGGT